TTTTTTTTTTTGGTACTGGGGATCGAACTTGGGTCCTTGCACTTGTGAGGCAGGGGGTGAAACCACTGAGCTAAATCCCCAGCCCCTCCTTTCCTTTTCGATTGAAGACTCTCTGGGTTCCCTGGGGTACCTCGGGGACCTTGTGATGGACAGGGTCCCCACTGGTAGCTCTGGAGCCATGAAGTGGGGAGACAGCCCCTCTGCGATGCTCCTCTGCAGTTCTGGGAACTGCTTTTCACTCTCCCCTTCTGCTGTGGAGCTCAGCCTGCTCTAAGACTTCAGATAGTAGGAAGGAAGCTTTTGCTTTGGGGTAAATGTTTGTTGAGGGGCATGGATTTCAAATTTTTCTGGTTAGCAATTAGGTAAAGAATAGCCAGTTTGCCTCAGAAATGCCTGCTGACCTGGCATTCCCGCCCCATCCCAGCACTGTGCTGGAGAAGAGCGGACTGACCACGCCCACGATCTCATTGCCTCTCCTTAGCTGATCTCTTTAATTAAAACAAAGTAATAAAGCATGCTTGGTGGGAGGATACTTTTAACAAAATGTCAGCAGTCTAAAACCAGAACAAACCCTTGCGCCCTGAGAATGGTGTGAGTGGGCAGGAGTGCTCATCGGAAATGCCAGGCTTGGAGCACTGGGCCAGTGAGTGCAGAGGTGAGCCTCGCACAGAGCTGGAGCCCAAGCATTGGTTAACATCTGGCGCAGATGCACAGGACCTCTTGCAGACCACCTGCACTACCCAAGGGACACACAGCACTCTCCCCGTTCACATAAGGAGAAGCGCTCTCTTGAGTTGCTAGTCTCATCATTTCACATGGAAAACTACTGGGCCAGGGATTTAGTTCAGTGGTTCTGCCACCTGCCTCACAAGTACAAGGACCTGAGTTTGATCCCTGGTACCAAAAAAAAAACACACATGGAAAACTACTAATTGTTCCCTGGAGGGTTTTTTTGTTTTTTTTTTTCTGGTACCGGGGATCGAACTGGGGTCCTTGCACTTCCCTGGAGTTTTCTTCAGAACAATGAAGCTTTGGCCACACAGATGCATGAAGGAACCAGGCCCAGGGTTACTAGTTAGAGGGGCCAGAGCTGGCGGACAAACCTGGTCTCTTCTGCCCTTTGTTTAGGAACAGCACCCTGAGGAGGAGCTGATCAAGACCAAGCAGGATGAAGTGAATGCTGCCTGGCAGCGGCTCAAGGGCCTGGCTCTCCAGAGACAGGGGAAGCTGTTTGGGGCAGCTGAGGTGCAGCGCTTTAACAGGTACGACCCAGCGAGGCTTTGCACACCAGGCATCTCCTGAGAGAGCTCGGGAATGTCTGTGGCCCGAGGGCTCCTGCACAGGTGTCATGACTGGGTCACTGTGTTTCCAGGGATGTGGATGAGACCATCAGCTGGATTAAGGAGAAGGAGCAGCTGATGGGCTCGGACGATTTTGGACGAGACCTAGCAAGTGTTCAGGCCCTGTTGCGGAAGCACGAGGGTCTGGAGAGAGACCTTGCTGCCCTAGAGGACAAGGTGGGTTTTGGGAGCAGCTGACTAAGCAAGTTCCAAGGGTCGCTGCATGGCTCTGACAAGAGCGTGTCTCTAGGTTAAGGCCCTGTGTGCAGAGGCCGACCGCCTGCAGCAGTCCCACCCTATGAGCGCCAGCCAAATCCACATGAAGCGAGAGGAGCTGATCGCCAACTGGGAGCAGATCCGCACACTTGCGGCAGAGAGACACGCACGGCTCAACGACTCGTACAGGTGGGAGCATCCTCCGGGGCTCACCAGCCAGTGTCCCCTGCTCTGGTGTAGAGGGGGGATGCAAAGGGAGGGATCAGGTCTGTGTCCTGTGGACCCTGCCAGGTACCTCATGCTAAGAAAATGCAGCCCACCTTTTCTCACCTGCATTTATGTTTGCTTGGAGACTTTCAGCTATGTACTTTTACTTCATAAGTGCTTTCATCTTCTCTTACTTCACTGTGACTGATAGGAATGGAGCTATCGAGCAGAGCATGGTGGTTCACACCTGTAATCCCTACGCTCTGGAGGCTAAGGCAAGAGAATCACAAGTTCAAGCCCAGACTGGGCAACTTAGAGACTTAGTGACAGCCTGTCTCAGAATTTTTTCTTTTGGTACCGGGAATCAAACTTGGGACCTTGCGCTTGTGAGGCAGGTAGTGGAACCACTGAGCTAAATTCCCAGCCCTCAAAATTTTTTAGAAAGGGGGGTGGAGTGGGGAATGCAGCTGGAGATGCAGTGCTAGAGATGCAGCTCAGTCCAAAGGCCCTGGGTTTAACCCCTAGTACTACAAGGGGGGAAAAAATGGAAATGTCTGCAGAGAGTCATGTGAAATATCCTATTAAAATAGAGTAAATTGCTGAGTGTGGTAGAGGATGCCTGTAATCCCAGCACACCCGGGAGGCTGAAGCAGTAGGAGCACTGCAAGTTCCAGGCCAGCCTGGGCTACATAGTGAGTTCAAGACCAGCCTGACCTACATAGCAAAACACTCTCAACGCCCTCTTCCCCCAGCACAAAAAGCAAGTATTAGGAAGGAAAAGAATGCTTTTTACTGATCTGGTGTTTGACCCTGGAAATAGCAAGTAGTTTAACATGTGGAACAGTGACCAGCCTGGGCAACACAGCCAGACTCCATCCCAAAAAACACATAAAAATGTATGTGGGAAAAGGTTGGGGCTTTATAGTGATGGGCAGAACCTACATTTTATTTGGTTTTTTTTTTTGTTTTTTGGGGGGTTTTTTTGGGGACCGGGGATCGAACTCAGGACCTTATGTTTGCAAGGCAGGCACAGTGCCATTGAGCTAAATCCTTGGCCCAGCACCTACGTTTTAAAGGATTGACTTCAGCCTGGGAACTGCAAGGTCCTGAGTTCGATCCCCAGTACCAAAATAAAAAGGATTGACTTCAGCCTTGTCTTGCTTTCCTTTCAGTCTAGGTTGGGGAAAGTTTCTGTTTCCCAGGACGATGGTGTACAATTTGTTTCCTTTGAGAATGTAGATTTCCAAGCTTCAGGGAGGCCGTCTTCCCCCTGCACCCTCCCCCAGCAAGAGCTAATGACACAGCTTTGTTTCCCAAGGCTCCAGCGCTTCCTTGCTGACTTCCGAGACCTCACCAGCTGGGTCACTGAGATGAAAGCCCTCATCAATGCGGACGAGCTCGCCAATGATGTGGCTGGGGCTGAGGCCCTGCTGGACAGACATCAGGAGCACAAGGTAACCTCGCCAGGGGCTCCCGGTACCATATGTCAGTACCTCACATTCATGACGCTGGGAGCGAGTGCGGGAATGCTATTCACAGGGGCCCCCTTGGTTAGGCTTAGGGTTTCACCCTTGAGACCTGCTCTACCTCCTTCTAGGTGAGGCCCAGGAGGGAGGGAGTGGGGGGTACAGGTGCTCCTTCTGGGCCTGTCATTTGTCCTGTCTTAGAAATGTCTGTTTGAGGGCTGGGGATTTAGCTCAATGATTCCTGCCTCGCAAGTGCAAGGCCCTGAATTTGATCTCAGTACCAAAAAAAAAAGAAATGTCTGTTTGAATTTCTTATTGCAGGATCTCCCCAGAGTATGTTTCATGGAAGATTAATTATATAAGATCTTGAATAGGCTTTACTCTTAAAAAGAGGAGGTTTTCCTGCTAATCACAGAGAATATAAAGCTCTTGGGAATAATTTCTTTGAAAAGTTGTGTAAGAGCTGGGCATGGGGCCGTTCATCTGTGATCCCAGCACTTGGGAGGCTGAGGCAGGAGGATTGTGAGTTCAGGGCCACCCTGGACCACATGGTGAGACCCCATCTCATAAAAAAGTATGAGACTTTCATGGAGAAAGCTGAAAATGTTTGGAAGACATTAAAGGGAAACTGATTAGACTGATTTACCTAATGTAAAGGTATAGATTTCCCCTAAGATACAGATATCCAGTGCAATTCTAGCCTAAAACCCTACAGAAGTAGGCAAGTGTGTGTTTGGAATGAGATAAGCTGATTCCAAAACCAATCTGGAAGGAAAGAACCCTTCCACTTTGAAGATTTGGTAGGGGAGAGAGGAATTCACCCTACCAGGTGCGGTAAAGTCATAAACAACAAATCATTCAGCACAAGGCCGACTGCCAGGCCAGTGAGAAGAGAGAGCAGGGCTCAGACCCAGGAGGAAACTGACCAGTGATAGAGGTGGCCTGCAAAGCCAATGGACAGGATCTCAGCCTGTCAGTGGTTTTCACATCTGATGACCCTGGCTGGTTGTTGGGACACAGGGCCCAGTGGTCCACTCTCTCCTCATTTTAGATGAGCCAGTCTCACCTGTGGTGATATTTGAAATTCAGCAGCTCATTTTTCTTTTACATGGTGCTGGGAATAATTTGTGCCTTTTCTCTCTGCAGGGTGAAATCGATGCCCATGAAGACAGCTTTAAGTCCGCAGATGAGTCTGGACAGGTGCTGCTGGCTGCTGGTCACTACGCCTCAGATGAAGTCAGGGAGAAGGTAGGGAGGCAGAGGAGCTTCTTAGAGGAAGCCAGGCCCGGAAGGCTCATAGGCGTCCTTCAGTGCATAGATGGAGCATCCAGCAGCCCCTGTCAGAACACAGCCTGGGATTCTGCCTGCAAGGGAGCAGGTTTTCCTTCAGAGATTTAAGAAAAAGATGTATGCATGTATGCTGACTCATCCAAGGACAGGTTTTTGTTTTTTAATTTGGGACATTGTGTGACACATTTCCTACCTAAAAAGGGAATTTGCAGCGAGCTGCTTCTGTTTTAGTAGTTGGAGCAAAGATGAAACAAATTTCTATAAAACAAGTCTGGAACATTCATAATTTATTTGAGAGCTTCTGTGGAGAGCCCACCCAATGGCATTTCTCAGTTGAGAGTCCCTCCTCCGCTCAAACAGCCTCCTGTTCATAGAGCGCTTTTTCTTCTGCCTACCAACCTATCTGAAATCATTTGTAATAATATGGCACTACCAGGACAGGGCCGTCCCACTTAGGGTCAGTGTATGCACCCAAGCATTCATGTGTCTCCTGTGACAAGGCTTACACAGTCCATGCAGTTCATCCACTTTTGCAAATCAGAAAGGTTAGCCAAGAATTACGTGAGATCTGGGCTCTCCAGGAGGCCCCTTGTCCAACCTGAGGGGAGGAGACTGACCTTGCTTCCTGTCTCCCAAGCTGACTGTCCTCTCGGAGGAGAGGGCTGCGCTGCTGGAGCTCTGGGAGCTGCGCAGGCAGCAATACGAGCAGTGCATGGACCTGCAGCTCTTCTACCGAGACACGGAGCAGGTGGACAACTGGATGAGCAAACAGGAGGTAACTCACCGCGGGGCCTTGCCAAGTGGGGAAATCGGTGCCATTTCAGTCCTGGAGCATGCGGAGGGCTGGAACTGAGCAGCTTTCTGTCTTCTGCCATCATCCCTCCCTGCACAGCAGAAAAGGTCCCAGTTTTTTAGATTAGTGAGAAGTACAATTATTGACAGAAAAGATTTTTTTCCTTAGATTTTTATCCTTATTTGTAATTTAAATCTAAGACAAGGAGCAAAAGCTATTTGGAAAAAGTTGGAGAACTGGGTGTGGTGCCACATTCCTGTAGTCCCAGCTGCTGAGGCAGGAGGATCACAAGTTCAAGCCCAGCCTGGGTAACTTAACAAGACCCTGTCTCAAAAATAGAAAGGGCTGGGGGCTGGGGATTTAGCTCAGTGGTTCCGCCGCCTGCCTCGCAAGTGACAAGGTCCTGAGTTGGATCTCCGGTACGAAAAATAAAAAATAAAAAAATAAAAATAAAAAGGGCTGGGACATAGCTCAGTGGTAGAGCACAAGATCCTGGCCTCAGTCCCCAGCACTGCCAAAAGAAAGCAATGGGATGCGGAACAAGGGTTTCTTGGTGCTGCTGGATTGATTGTAAGTGAATGTGAAAGGACTTCAGACTTTCCAGAAATCTCAGAGTTCCTTAGCCAGAGAATCTCTTTCCTTTTTTCTGTGTTGTGGCTTTCGAGTTTTAGAGGATCAGAGACCAGGACGTGATCCTGAAGACTTTGTTTTCTTCACAAGGCATTCCTGCTGAATGAAGACTTGGGCGACTCCTTGGACAGTGTAGAAGCGCTTCTCAAGAAGCACGAGGACTTTGAGAAATCTCTTAGTGCCCAGGAGGAAAAGATTACAGTAAGACCTCTCTCGTCGGAACCCTTGAATAAGCAGTACCCCAGCCATGGCAGGCCATCTTGTTTGGGGACCTTTACATAGTGACATTGCTTACTTGATGGAAACTTCCAAACAGAGATGCAGCTTTCACTAAAACTAGTTCAGAATGAATGTGCATGTACCCTTCCTGTGAAAACATGTTGGAAGAAAGAATTGGAAGGCTGCTGATCTGTGTCCCATGCCAGTCAGGACCTTGTGCTGTCATTCGAGTCTTGAGTCTTGAATGGAGTAAGCACAGTCTTGTTCTAATAACATGCAGCAGAATGTGACAAGTAGAAGGAAAATGTGGCCATTACCAGTTGTGGGGTGTGAACCTTGAGGTTTTGAGGCCTGGGGGTGTCTCATGTCCTATTTGAGCTCACATGACCACCTTCCTCCTTCCCAGGCGCTGGATGAGTTTGCAACCAAGCTAATCCAGAACAACCACTATGCGATGGAAGATGTGGCCACTCGCCGAGACGCTGTGAGTGCCCTGGTTCTCTGTGCCCTCTCCTGGCTGTGGGGTCCTTTCCAAGGCAGTTGTCCCAAGAGCCGGACAGCTTTTGGGACTAAGAACTGGAGAGTCACAGGAATCCCTGTCTTCCAGCTGCTGAGTCGCCGCAATGCCCTTCATGAGCGAGCCATGCATCGACGGGCCCAGCTGGCCGACTCCTTCCACTTGCAGCAGTTCTTCCGTGATTCTGATGAGCTCAAGAGTTGGGTCAACGAGAAGATGAAAACTGCCACGGATGAAGCTTATAAGGTGAGATGCTGTTGGTCTTGTGTGGCTTCTGAGTAGACCCTGGTGTCATTCGTTGTAGCTGAATAAAGAGATGAGACTACACAACTGCTTATCTAATAGGACCTGAATGTTTTATGCACACCCTATGAATATCAGTATGAAGGGATGCAAAGTACCTTGACAAACTTAGGTTCCATACAGAACCCTCTGTTCATTTTCATGGGCAGGACCCGTCCAATCTGCAAGGAAAAGTACAGAAGCATCAGGCTTTTGAGGCTGAGCTCTCTGCAAACCAGAGCCGCATTGATGCCCTGGAGAAGGCTGGGCAAAAGCTCATCGATGTCAACCACTATGCCAAGGACGAAGTAGCCGCTCGGATGAATGAGGTCATCAGCTTGTGGAAGAAGCTGCTAGAGGCCACGGAACTGAAAGGTAGGTGACAGGGATGTTTGAGGAACTAAATGTTCCCTCTTGGTTTAGTGTTAAGGGACATATACACCCCCAGGGAAGGCTGGTGATGACTTTGGGCATAGTGAGTGTTTCCTGTACACGAGTTACCTGGCTGGGTTTCTCATGTTTTATTGATTTGGCAAGTGTGATCGAACATGCTGGCTGGTGGGGGAGCTGGAAAGGAATGAATCGCACCTCATCACTGAACACCAGCGTTCTTAGGCAAGCTAAGGACATTCAGTAAAGCCCAGAGGCCCTAAGCTCATGGGGCTGGAGCGCTTTCCAAACTTCCCATTCATCTGCAGTAGAGCAGAGGCTGTGTGCATCCTGTGTTAAAAGGGAAACAGTTCAGATTCTGATCCTTAGTTCTTCACCAAGGTGGTGAGCGTGCTTCGTGAGTGTTATGGTAGACAGACCCCCTCCACCAGTAGAAAATCAAACTTGCCTTCTTGGACAGGAATCAAGCTTCGTGAAGCGAACCAGCAACAGCAATTTAATCGCAATGTGGAAGACATTGAATTGTGGCTGTATGAAGTAGAAGGTCACTTGGCTTCTGATGATTATGGCAAAGACCTTACCAACGTCCAGAACCTGCAGAAGAAGCATGCTCTGCTGGAGGCGGATGTGGCTGCTCACCAGGTGCGTGGGCACCAGGGCCGGAGCCAGGAACAGGACTGCACGAGTGAGGAGGGGACGATGGCAGGAATCGAAGGGCGAGACTAGTGCCGGGGGACAGACTGGGCGGCTGTCTTTGGGAACTCTCTGCTGTTACTCAAGTTGTCTTCCTCAGAGCTCTCCTGGAACCTAAAGTGAGGGGAAGAGATGTTGGGAAAAGCATCCTCTTAGTCTTTCTCCTCCTGAGAAAAACACATGCACCGTAATAAAGTCAGCCTTGTCACTCCACACTGGCATCCAAGGCTCTGTCCTCTCTTGTGCCCAGGATCGGATCGATGGCATCACCATTCAGGCCCGCCAGTTTCAGGATGCTGGCCATTTTGATGCTGAAAACATTAAGAAGAAGCAGGAGGCGCTGGTGGCTCGCTATGAGGCCCTTAAGGAACCCATGGTTGCCCGGAAGCAGAAGCTGGCAGATTCTCTGCGTCTGCAGCAGCTCTTCCGTGACGTGGAAGACGAGGAGACATGGATACGAGAGAAGGAGCCCATTGCGGCATCTACCAACAGAGGTGAGTGCCTCCACCAGACAGGCTGTGCATCAGGTTCACTACCGCGCGGACGCCCTGGTAGCTCCTAGGAGTGACAGTAGGTGCTGCTGCTTCTCTTTGGGGCTGGAGGATGAGGGAGTGCTTTCTGCTTTCTGCCTTCAGGCAAGGACTTAATTGGAGTCCAGAATCTGCTAAAGAAACATCAAGCTTTACAAGCAGAAATTGCCGGACACGAACCCCGCATCAAAGCAGTGACCCAGAAGGGGAACGCCATGGTGGAGGAAGGTGAGTGACTGTCTGCAGCGGGCGTGGTGTGGCTGTGCGTTGCCTGTCTCCCCTCCACTGGTAAAGGTCGTAGGTCAGAGCGGACTGAGCTGGGGAGAGTCCCATTGCCACCCCTTCCCAACCAGAAGACCGTGACCAGGTCAGACCCTACTGACCCTCGTTTCTGACCTGTAAAGGGGGTGATGATGGCGATGCCACACCTGCTCCTCGTGGAGTTGTGAGGCCGAGTAGAGCTCAAGTAGATAAAGGCTCGAGAGGCCACCTGCACTCTTAAGTCTGTCACTAAGGTCCACGGCAGTGCTGCTGGTTTTTTTTTTTTTGTTTTTTATACCAGGGATCAAACTCAGGACCTTGAGCTTGCAAGGCAGGTGGCAGCACCACTGAGCTAAATCCCCGACCTTGCTGTTGGTTTTATTACTTCTTTTATTGTCTTGTTTTTCTTTAGGGTTGAGATAGGGTTTCCCTATGTAGTTCAGGCTGGCCTTGAACTCACTATCGAACTTGTGATCCCTCCTGGCTCCACTTGCTGGGATTATAGGCTGTGCCACTACCCCAGCGCATGGTTTTATTATTTTTCTTTTTTTAAATTATTGTTCTTTTTTTATGATAATGCTGCCATTGCCACCTGAGATGTGTGCCTCCTAGAGTCTAGAATGAGACATGATTTGAGGAGGCAGAAACGAGACTGCCTGTTAAAGGCTTAGAACCTGAACTGTGATAGGAATGTGATACAGCCGGGCATTTCTGCCTAAAATGTAGTAACGAGCACCGTGAGCACCAGAAGCCTCCTCTTGCCTTCTGTGATGTCAGGTAGACGTCTCCTCATCCTCCCTGCAGGCCACTTTGCTTCAGAGGACGTGAAGGCCAAGCTCAATGAGCTGAACCAGAAGTGGGAGGCCCTGAAAGCCAAGGCCTCCCAGCGGCGGCAGGACCTGGAGGACTCGCTGCAGGCCCAGCAGTACTTTGCTGACGCCAACGAGGCCGAGTCATGGATGAGGGAGAAGGAGCCCATCGTGGGCAGCACGGACTATGGGAAGGACGAGGACTCTGCTGAGGTAACCTTGGGCTCAGGGGCCCATGTCTGCCAGGAAATAGGCAGTGGGGGGGCCGGGTAAGGCAGACACGATGAGGTGGGGAAGGTGCAATGTCTCAGCGATTGTTTTGCAATCTGTTTTTCACTGTTTGTTGTGGAAATTCAGTCAGAACTAAAGGAGAAGACTCCCTGTCACCCACCTGGACTGTTCACGTTTACAGTTCTTGTCTTCTGTGTTCTCCATCTTGTGCACATAGATGTGCGTGCACACATCACAGCAACACGTGGGCGTCCAGTACACATGTACCCATGTGCACATAAGCACCAGCTTACATTCATACTGTTTTTGCTAGTCTTTTTTTTACAATAAATCTTTTTATCCATAAAGGTATGAATATAGTCCTCAAACATCCTTTCCCTTTCCCCGTCTCTTTTCTCTTCCCCTTCTCCTCCTGCCATGTAGTCTGGGCTGGCCCTGAACCCCCAGTCCTGCCTCAGCCTCCCAAGTGTTGGAGTTACAGGTGTGCATCACCACACCCGATGTACCTATCTTTTCTTGCTATTGAAAACTGGAATGAGGGTGGGGGATTTAGCTCAGTGGTGCCACTGCCTGCCTTGCAAGCATAAGGTCCCAAGTTCAATCCCCGCCCGGTACCAAAAAAAAAGAGAGAGAAAAACTGGAATGAGTTTAGTATTGACATAAACTGTCTATATTTTTCCAAAAGATGGGAGAATGAAAACTTTGGAAGTGGTATGAGTGGGAAAAGATGAAGCAGCAGATGTAGAGTGAAAGAGCAGTGTGCACAGCCAGGTTTGCTGTGGTGGTAACATTTGCTCTCTCAGGACGGCGGCAGATTCACCAGTATGTGGGATGCTGTTTTGTTTTTCATATTCATTTGCATGTTTCAAAACTGCACAATGAGGTAGAAGCAAGGTGAATATAAGAGTGTAAGTCACACTATTTCCCCCAGATTGAATGTTGATTTTCAGCTAGGGGAGGGTAGCTGGGCTTGGTGGCTCACGCCTGTAATCCTCGCACTTGGGAAGCTGAGGCAGGAGGGCTGCTGTGAGTTTGAGGCCACCCTGAGCTACACAGTGAGACCCTGTCTCCAAAAATCAAAAAAGGCAGGATGGTTTGTAGAACAGGAGGAAGTCAGAACTTATGTGGCTGAAGGGGCTTCCAGTGAGGGTGGCCGACAACAGGGCTTAGACTCCTTGCACCATCACTTACGTGTCATTCTGGCTCCAGGCTCTGCTAAAGAAACACGAAGCTTTGATGTCGGACCTCAGTGCCTATGGCAGCAGCATCCAGGCTCTTCGGGAGCAGGCACAGTCATGCCGGGTGAGCACATCAGCATTGACAGGTTACCTGGGGAAGATAGGGTCAGGGAACGTCACCGGACCCATTGTCTGCAGTTGTGATGTCCATGGGCAGTGTTCTGTGACTCAGGTTTACGGTCAGACAGTCTAGGGTGAGGTTTTTCCACAGATACGCAGTGGCGTGAATAAGATGCCATTAGCTTTGGGGAAGAGCTCCCATGAGTGCACATTTGTGAACATGGTACCACTGTTGGAGGGGGACTCTGCTGTCCGTTTGGATGGCACGTCCTGGTGTCCTTTATCTGCTTGCTCTTTGGATTCTCAGCAACAAGTGGCCCCCATGGATGACGAGACTGGGAAGGAGCTGGTCTTGGCTCTCTATGACTATCAGGAGAAGAGTCCTCGCGAGGTGACCATGAAGAAAGGGGACATCCTCACCCTGCTTAACAGCACCAACAAGGCAAGGCTCGGGAAGCGCCACGCCCCTTTCTGCACCCCAAAGTGGGCCTGCAGAGAGGGCTTCCTCATCATTCTGCCGCTTGGTCGGTGCCAGCCCAGCTGTGTGTGGGTATGACCAGGAAGGCCCTGAATTGCTTCTGCAGGTAGCTCACAGGTTGGATTCTTGGGGTAGCTTTGCTCCTGACTGAACATCATCTCTCTGCTGCTACCTCTGCTGCTTGGTTTTTTGTCATTTGGGAGTCAATTTGTCTTTTTTTGTGTGTTATACTCGAGAATGCTAGGCGAGTGCTCTACCACTGAGCTCCGTCCCAAGTCCCTAGCTGTTGGTTGGTAGCATAGACCGTAGAGCTGTGCCTTGGCCTGGCAGATGGTCAAAGACAACAGAGCTGTCACCTTTTACTCTTTGTCTTCCACATTAAATGCTGCCTGGTTCCTTGGCCATTCTTCCTTGACACATGCTGATTTGACAGTGGCCTCCAACAGAGGTGCAAGACCCTCCATGTTGCACCTGACTCATCCTGAAGGATCTAGTCTTTGTCTTGTTAAGGCCAGAGAGAGGCTCTGGGCCCTTGTTGAGACCCTCTTTATTCCCTCACCTAATTAACCTCATCGTGAGTCTCTAAGGAAACCTGTGATTCATATCTTTCTCCTGGATTCTGGTTTAAAGTTAAACTAACTGCCTGGCCTGAGTGTTTATCCCAGAGCAGTGCTTCTGTGATGGTTCAGCGTTCCGGGTCTGTGCAGCCCTGTGGTAGCTGCTAGCCTCGTGTGAGTGCCCCCGAGTGAGCTGGGCCGGCACAGCCGAGTTTTCACTGACTGTGACTCAGCCTTGCTGGACATTTGAGAGGCACAGGTGGCTAGTGGCTGCCATGCAAGGTGGCACAGAGTTGCAGTGTCTAAGCACAGAGAAGGCTGGCAGTGTGCACAGCAGTGCAGAAAGTGATCTGCTCACTCATCCTCCTTGTACCCGTAGGACTGGTGGAAAGTGGAAGTGAATGATCGTCAGGGTTTCGTGCCTGCTGCTTACGTGAAGAAGCTGGACCCTGCCCAGTCAGCGTCCCGGGAGAACCTGCTGGAGGAGCAGGGCAGTATCACGCTTCGGCAGGAGCAGATCGACAACCAGTAAGAAGTGCGCCGTCACACACAGGGCCCGGTGTCACTCAGGGTCAGCCTGTTGCACGCAGACTGAGGTTTCGCCAGTGTCCCTCCGGAGCCCAGCCCCCCTTTTGCCTTCCCAAAGTCACTTTTAATCCACTCACCTCCCTGTTCAGTTTGCCCCACATCTCTGCCTGACACCTTAATCCCCTTTGGTTTTTTTGGTTTTTTGTTTTTTTTCCTTTGAGTCATTGCCATCTTAAGTTTTGTCTTGTGGTTCAAGATGCCTTATGAAATTGGATGTTCAGACTTCCCAGCCCTTACCTCTGGCCCCTTTTGGACAGCTGCTTAGAGAGCATCTCTGTATCATGGCCTTGTGTTCTCAGGCTGGAAGTGACTTTATATAAACTGCCTCTGTCCTCATTGCTCTAGTTAAGCCCCATGTTGCCCTGTGTCCCCCCTTCAGGGCATATCTTGTTCCATAATGAACTTTGGAACAAGGCTTTGGAAACCTGGGGATTACCCAGAAAATACACTCCTCCTAGCATATAAAATAATGGAACTTTTCTCACCCTAGTGATCCTTAAAAAGACTAGATGTCTTTGCACATGTCCAGATTCTCTTACTGTTTAGACAAGAATAAGAGATTTGGGTTTCTATTCTTAGCGGTCTGAGATGTAAGCATGAGAGCAAAAAAAGTGACCAGATATATGGTTATTGCTTATTAGCAATCAAAAAAATTGCTTTCCAAGCCCATTTCTCCCCTGGCTTCACTCCATGAAGCTAACAGTGTTGCAATACAGGGAACTCTGCCTTGAGCATGGTGGATTGTCAGGAAAACAAAGGTGAACTAACCCTTTCATTTAATTTTCCTGCTGTTTCTTTACTGCGATTTCACTCCCGGCCTGGACACTACTAAGAGCTTTTGAATGACTTCTTCATTTTCCCCACTTTAAGCATCCACTGTCATGGCACCAGTTGGAGCTGCCGCTTTTCCTTCCTGTGGATTAATCCCACTAATTCATGCATGCTTTTGCTGTACCCTCTGTGCAGGACACGCATTACTAAGGAGGCCGGCAGTGTATCTCTGCGTATGAAACAGGTGGAAGAACTGTGAGTAGGCTGAGCCTCACTGACACCCATGTCCATTCTCCCTGCCACTTCTCTCCGAGGCACTTGTCCATCCAGACAGATGAGGTGGCGGGAGGGACGCACATCTGTGTGGTGGCTTTGCTGGCAAGGGGAGAGGTTTCGGTGCTGCCACGTCCATGGTGACGGCTGCTCTTGTTGGTGGCTTCTGCGGGTAGCTGTGTGTAGTGTGGTGTCGCTTCCCTCCGGGGCTCGGTGGTGGAACAGGCCCTGTCAGCAGAAACCTGAGGCCGGTGTTGTAGTGTTCCTTAGTAAGAAGGAAGCTGAATGCTTCTCAGTTCTCTGATTCCTGGTGACTCACTGCTTTTTTATTTCTGTTTGGGAAGCTGAATTAATGGTGATCTTAGAGTTCTCAACTTTCAGGTTTTTTTATCAAGTTTGTCATTTTTGTGTCTAACGATAGTTGGAATTCAGCTTTTTGTATTTTAATACTCAAGGGCTAGAATGTTCTCTTAAGTTTCATAAATCTTCCAGACAAGGAAATGGTACAGAGATTCTGTACTCTATCTGATTTTCCTTCTTAAGTTACAATAACTTTCTGAAAAACTGATTTCCTTTTAAAAGTCCTAAGGATGCAAGCATCCTAGAAAGCGATAAAGCTTTGTGTGCCAATAGGCCGGGGATTTAGCTCAGTGGTTCTGCCGCCTGCCTCGCAAGCTTAAGGTCCCGAGTTCAATCCCCGGTGCCAAAAAAAAAAAAAAAAAATTGGCGTGCCATCCATCCCCCGACCGGGGCTGCTCAGAGAACGATGTAAGAGGGGAAACCCTCTGTGTAAGTTCATAGATCGTCTCGTGTCTCAGCCATAGTCCCACAACCCTGTGTTTCTGTCTGAAACGCTTGGTTTCAGTCATTTGTGGTCATGATGTTATACGTGCAGAGGTGGCCTAGGGACAAGTGTGCGTGGCTGCTGCGGCCACCTGGCTGAGACCGCTTCAGCGTGTGCTTGCTTATTCCTGCAGCTATAGTTTGGGGACTCGGGAGCCTCTTCTCCTGACACCCTGATCCCTGTCACAGCACAGCTCATCACACACTCATGCCCGGCTCCCAGCTCGCACACGCCCAGTGGCCTCCTCTGTCAGCGTCTGTAGGTAGCTGACTGCCCCTCACCCTTGTCGCCCTTGGCCCATGGCAGATACCACTCGCTGCTGGAACTGGGCGAGAAGCGCAAAGGCATGTTGGAGAAGAGCTGCAAGAAGTTCATGCTGTTCCGCGAGGCCAACGAGCTGCAGCAGTGGATCCACGAGAAGGAGGCGGCGCTGACGAGCGAGGAGGTTGGTGCTGACCTGGAGCAGGTGGAGGTGCTGCAGAAAAAGTTCGACGACTTCCAGAAGGTGAGGGTGCTGCGGCCGGCCCCAGACCTGGCTCGGGGACTGGTTCTCCTGGCTTTTCCCAGCCTGCACAGCCCCTGACAGTCAGTCTTCCTCTGTATCTGCGTTATCTTATTCTGGACAGCCATTTAAGTGGAATCACCCATTATGTGACTTTTTTTTTTTTCAGTGCCGGGGATTGAACTCGGGTCCTTGCCCTTGCTCAGCAGGCGGCGAAACCACTGAGCTAAATCCCTGGCCCCTGTACTTCCTTTTATTTAACATGTTTTCAAGACCTTCCCTGGTATAAGGGTACTCTATTCCTTTTTGTTGCTAAGTAATACTCCATTGTGTAGATGTAGCATGTACTGGGTGACCATTCCTGTTTGCAGATTCTTAGAACCCATGGCAGGGCCTTCATTCTCCCATACTGGCTGTCGTTAAAGCTTCATCACATTTTAAAAACATTATTTCCCTCTACAGAAAATGTTCTTACAAGTACACATTCAATCAGAGTAATGGTTCCTTACTGGTACTTACTGAAGCAAATTGGAGACAGGCTGTTTGTGTCCTTGCTTCTTTGATAGTGGCAGTCAGGGTTACCTGATCTCAAGCCCTGTTGAGTCAAGAAGCCACAGGATACCTGTGGGGCAGCTCTTCATGGGCTTGAACTTTGTTTAAGAGCCATCGCTGCCGTCCTCTGCCATGCCACACTGTTCTGGGTTAGTTTCAGGGCCTTTGCTTTACAGGATCTGAAGGCCAATGAGTCCCGGCTGAAGGACATTAACAAGGTGGCGGAGGACCTGGAATCTGAAGGTCTGATGGCAGAGGAGGTGCAGGCTGTGCAGCAGCAGGTGAGTGTCTCCTCCCTCCCTGTGACCCTCACGGCCCCACAAGCAAGGTTTGCCAGCACAAGCTGCAGCTCTGTGCCCCGAGCCATTATGACTTCTTGGGCTGATGTCCCCCATCTTCATCCCGGGGGGCTCCCATGTCCTCCCTTGCTGAATGTTTGTGTTGCCCTTAATTAGCAGTACTTCCATGAGTTCCTGAGTGCCTGGAAGGTTTTGTGTATGCATACATGAAGTCCTGCTTTCAGTGGGCTGGCCTTCTGTCAGTGTCGCCTGGCCTGACGGTAGTATTGTGTGTGCTGAGAGGGCTGTTTCCTCTAATGTAAACTGATTTTTCTCTCTCCTTGTAGGAGGTGTATGGCGTGATGCCCCGGGTAAGTCTCAGGGCTCCCTGTGGAGCTTGAACATGCAAAGGCTTAGATTCTGGCAAGGATGGAAAGTCAGGAGTTGCTACCTGAGGATTTCTGTTCCTGATCCTAGAGATCCTTTTCTGTAGAAAAATCTGGAAAAGAAATTCTGGACATTGATTTCTACTTGCTGTTCTCCAGAAGACCAAAAACATTTTCTCACTGGGCATAGTGGTGCACGCCTGTAATCCTAGCACTTGGGAGGTGGAGGCAAGAGGATTGTCTCAAGTTTGAGGCCAGCCTAGGCTACATAGTGAGCTCAAAGCCAACCTGAATTAGAGCAAGACCCTGTCTCAAAAATAAATAAATAAATTAAATATTCTCCCATTTTCTAAAACTTTGTCCCAACTATCATTTACCATTGTTACCTCTTTCAAAGAATCTTGTATGACATAAGAAAAATTGGTCATTTTCTTATTAAATTTCCTCGTATCTCCCTTTCTCCTACTAGATAAAAAGATTGGAATTTTTCTGTTTATTTGTGTAGCTTTCCTCACCCAGCCTTGGGCTTGTTGTCAGTATGTGGGTATCTCTGAGCCACAGATGGACGGGGCTGCTCTTGCTCATGTGTCTGTGCGCCCTGGGAATATTAGCACCAGTCACAAGCAGGGCCGGTGCGGGTGGCTCCGGGCTCCCTTGCCGTTTCCCTAAACTCCTCTTCCTCTGGACAGGATGAAGGGGATTCCAAGACCACCTCCCCGTGGAAGGTAAGGGCTCCCTTGCAAGTTGGTTTCCAAGGCCTTGGCAGCAGTGTGCATTCTTTTCTGTCCTTTCCTGCTGTGCCTTTTCTGAGTCTTCAGCTTGAACCTTCTGTCGCCTCTGGACTCACTCAGGCTAGCTTCTTTCTGACCTGGGAATTGTGACCTCTTAGCTCTGGAAGTTTGATGTGTGAGGCGCAGGCTTAAAGCACTCACATTCAGGTGCTCAGCCTGGGCGGACCTTGTTGCTGCCAGCATGCCTGTCACGGGTATCGTGTGTCACTGGGTGCGGCAGTCCCACTGAGATGATGTAAACAGGAAAGGACTTCGGAAGTGAAAGGTCAGCCTCCCATCCATCCCCTCTTCCTCCTCTGGTCTGAGAAAGGCTTTCTAGAAGATTCTGAATCCAGAGGTGTGAAGGGAGGAGCAGGTTAGCCACGGCATGGGCATTGCTCATGCTGTGCAGGTGTGGTGCTTCACAGAGCAGACAGACACTGGCCGAGGACAGGCGGTGGAGGGCAGGGCAGGGAGGGGCCGGGGCGGGAGGTGCACGCGCTATGCTAAGATTAAGCTATAGGCCAGTTAGAGTAGATTTCTGTTTCATGAACAGTGCATCCTTACCAGGTGTGGTGGCCAATCTTGACCTAGCTCAGATAGCAAACTCTGACGGTTGGTGACTTAAAAGGACAGTGGCTTCTTCCCTGCCACAGCACTTTTCTGGGGACCGTCAACACGTTAGACACCTTCACTGGTGCCCATACCTGCTCCTCTCAAGGAGGGGTGGGCAGAGGGGCTGCCCTAGTGGGGACACTGACGACCTTCTTTCCCCTGTGCTGAAGCCAACCCCCCCGGCGGGGGCCACAATTGGAGAATTATGGGCTGCGTGAGCTTTCTTTCACGGGAATGTCATGGGCTCTGGGGTTTCTAGAAGTATCTACATTGCTGAGGAGACAGCTACTGGAGGTCAGGCATACTGGTGCATGCCTGTAATTCTAGCACTCGAGGCTGAGGCAGGAGGATCTCTTCGAGTTCAAGGCCAGCCTGGACCACATAGTGAGACCCTGTCTCAAAAAAACAAAACAAAACAAAAATGAAAACTTATAGACCACTTATTTCCTTTTTCTCTGGCAAAGCTGTTACCTTTGTGGGGAGGACACTGTTGAAGGGAACAGTGGCCCCGTAGCTGTGCCACACGTGGACAGTTAGGGCACCATAGGACCTTAGGGCACCACACAGTTTAAACAGCCGATGAGCTGTTAGAATTGTAGTCCTTCCGCTCTTCACTCCTTGTCAAGTAAACTTCCTCTCAGAGCTGGGTCTAAGTGTGCCTTTGGGTTTCCTCAGGCTTCCCCAGGGTTGACACTGTTAGTGCCCCTGCTCAGAACAGTACCAGAGTCCTGCTGAGGTAACTGGTGCAACTGCAGCTCAGATCTCTGTCCCTCATCTGGCGGGCGCTCCATCGGTTTTCTCTCTGCTCTCCTCCCTACAGTCTGCTCGTCTGATGGTTCACACTGTGGCTACCTTCAATTCCATCAAGGTGAGGAACAGGGACTAGCATCCCTGGCTTCCCCTGCTTTTCTTCACTGCCTTTCTCCCTGTTGTCAGTGGGTCTCTTGTTCTGGTCGGCCAGGTGACTCTAGGTCTCAGGCAGGCCTCCCTGTGAGGCCCTCTCAGGACTGTGGGTGGCCCAGTGCTTCCGGCCCGGCCTCAGGTTCCAAGCAGGGCAAGAGAGCACCTAGTGCCTTTCTGGCGTTCTCGTGTTCTGGCCGAGGAAGCAGCTGGGTACGTGTTGGAGTGGGAGGTTCGGCATTTGTCCATGAAGCAGAGGCCCCATGCCAGGCCCCAGGCCAGCTGAAAGAGTTAGCTGTGGCTCCCTTTGCTTCTGAGGGGATTCCTACGTCAGGTATTGGGGGTTTCACGCCACCAGATGTGGCGGGTTTAGACTTTCTGGAATTGTGCTGGTGCTGGTTACTAACTTCCTTAGCTGGGAAAGTTGGAAACATGAAGTCTGGTATGCCTTAGCACTCCTGTCCAGGTCAGCCACCCTCCCAAGGCCTGGCTGTGGCTGTGACTGAGGAGAGGCAGGCCTGACACTGTGCCATCCTCCTGCAGGAGCTGAATGAGCGCTGGCGGTCCCTGCAGCAGCTGGCTGAGGAGCGGAGCCAGCTCCTGGGCAGTGCTCACGAAGTGCAGAGGTTCCACAGGTGAGGGGCCCAGCACCGGGCTGGGGCAGGAGAAATGGGGACTGTCACCCACACTGAGACCCTGGCCTTGCTGATAGCTGCGTTCTGGCACCTAGTATTTCAGCTGACATGGTGGCTCCTCGGGAAACACTTCTCAGTGCCAGCTAACGGGACTTGCCCTGTGTCTGTCCTGGAACCAAGGCATGTGTGCTCAGGATTCATTAACCTGCATGTGTGTGTCATGTACAGAGACGCAGATGAGACAAAAGAGTGGATTGAAGAGAAGAATCAGGCTCTCAACACAGACAACTATGGCCATGATCTGGCCAGTGTCCAGGCCCTACAGCGCAAGCATGAGGGCTTTGAGAGGGACCTTGCAGCTCTGGGGGATAAGGTGAGCGGTGCCTGGGGCAGAACAGAGCCTTCCATTCTACGGAGCACGGTTCCCTTATCTGTGTTTCTCCCCACTTTCTCTCCATAGGTCAACTCCCTCGGTGACACAGCCCAGCGCCTGATCCAGTCCCACCCCGAGGCTGCAGAGGACCTTAAAGAGAAGTGCACTGAGTTAAACCAGGCCTGGACCAGCCTGGGCAAACGCGCTGACCAGCGCAAGGCCAAGCTGGGTGACTCCCATGACCTGCAGCGCTTCCTTAGTGATTTCCGGTAGGAAAATATGTTGCTCAGAGCTCTGGAGCCCAGAGCCTTCTTTCTGGTGGTCATTTCATGTGCAAGTAATCCCGGCTCATACAGCAGAGTCAAACTACTGAATGCCAAACTCCAAGATAAACCTGCTTCCTGAGGATGTGGTCACATGCTTGCACACATGCGCATGCACACACACATGCCTTAGACGTTCCCTTGAGAGATGGAATTCTGTCTTTTCTTTAGACCTATTTTCACTTACTATAGATACGCCTTTGTTTTCCATCAGCTTTCTGTGATTTTTTTGTTGTTTTTTTTTTTGGTACCAGGGATCGAACTCAGGTCTTTGCGCTTGCGAGGCAAGCGGCAGAACCACTAAGCCAAATCCCTGGCCCAGCTTTCTGATTTGGAAATTTTAAGGCCACAGAGAAGTTGAAAGAACAAACGAGGACCAGCTGTGACGCTGTCATCTGCAGTCACCAGTTGGCTTCAAGACATTCTTGTTTTCTCTGGGCCTTTCATCTTTGAGCGTCGCGAGTAGATATTGCAGCCCTGTGGTGCCCTCCCTCTGCATGTGTGCATGTACATCTCCCGAGAGCGAGGGCATCCTACAGAGTGGCTGTTACCAGGCCGAGAAACAGACACGAACAGAGTAGTATCAAGTCTGTTTTCAGGTTTCCCATCTTCTTGAGTGTATATTTTGTCCTCAGGGAGTTTGATTCAGAGTCTAGTCGCAGATTGCCAGGCACATTTGGTGGCTTTGTCTCAGTCTCCTTGAACCATGAATAACATCCCCACACCCTGTTTTTGTCTTTCATGGTATTGGTATATTTGAAGTGGCCAGGCCAGGTGTCTTGCGCAGTGTTCCATGTCTTTTTTGTTCCAGGGATCGAACTCAGGACCTTGCGCTTCCCATGCAAGCGGCAGCACCACTGGACTCAATCCCTGGCCCCAGTTTCTCATTCTTTATGGCTAGTAGTACTATATTTTGAGACAGGGTCTCACTGATTCACTTAATTGCCCAGGCTGGGCTCAGATTTGCAATCATCCTGCCTCATTTTCCCAGAGTACTAGGATTACAGACATGTTCCGCATTGCTTGGCGTTTTAGTTAACCATTTTAAAGTGTGCAGGTAATTGTACTCAGTGTTGTCTCAGTGTTATGCAGCTACCACCTCTCAAGTTTTGCAGCCTTTCCTCTCTGTTGAATTAACACCCCTAACCCTTAGCTGACCACTCCCTAACTCCTCCTCTCTCAGCCCTAGTAACCCTTCACCTGCCTTCTGACCCTGTGTATTTGCCTATTTTGGAAGTTTCCTTTGGAACGAGTCCACACTATATGGCCTTACACACTTCCGGCACACCCATGTATCAGTACCTTTGTGAGAAGCTGGGGCTAAATGCCTGCACAGTCCCAGTGAAAGACTTTCATTTGAAGCCATCAGAAATTTTAGTACGGGGGCCAGGGATTGAGCTCAGTGGTTCCACCGCCTGCCTCACAAATTGCAAGGTCCCGAGTTCGATCCCTAGTACCCCCCCAAAAAAGAAATTTAAGTATGGGTGTCGCCTGTGTTAGAAATGGGTGTTCTGTAAGGTGAAAGACCTTAGTTATAAAGCTGTTCATTCTTCCCCAAGGAAATCCTGCCCTTTTTTTTCCTTAAAGTATCTCAACAAGAACCAGAGGCTCTGAAACCCTGTGCATCAAGGCCCAGGCCCGTTTGATAGATGATTAGGTTAACCCGAAGTAACCTTCTGAGGCAAGACTGAGGTAGTTTCATTTTCCCAGGCAGAGGCTTGCTTGCCCATATAGTATAATGGCTGTTGCTCTGTGGGTCTGGTTTCCAGGGACCTCATGTCTTGGATCAATGGAATCCGGGGGCTGGTGTCCTCAGATGAGCTAGCCAAGGATGTCACCGGAGCCGAGGCGTTGCTGGAGCGGCACCAGGTGGGTAGACCTGCTTGCCGAGAACCCTTGCCCACCAGCGTTTGTTGTGAGCCAGTGGTTGACACCAGGCTGTGCATCTTCTGCCAGTTATCTAATCCATTCCCTCCTCTTGGCAGGAACACCGGACGGAAATTGATGCCAGAGCTGGCACTTTCCAGGCATTTGAGCAGTTTGGGCAGCAGCTGTTGGCTCATGGGCACTATGCCAGCCCTGAGATCAAGGAGAAACTTGACATCCTCGATCAGGAGCGTGCAGACCTGGAGAAGGCCTGGGTTCAGCGCAGGATGATGCTGGATCAGTGCCTCGAGCTGCAGGTGCGAGCGCTTGCTGACCCCAAGTGTCTTTGGCTGGGGCCCTGCCTCGGCCTGCTCACCTACCTTTTGGCTCCTGCAGCTGTTCCATCGGGACTGTGAGCAAGCCGAGAGCTGGATGGCCGCGCGGGAAGCTTTCCTGGACACCGAGGACAAAGGAGACTCGCTGGACAGTGTGGAAGCTCTCATCAAGAAGCATGAGGACTTTGACAAAGCTATCAATGTCCAGGTAGGGCCTGTGCCGTGACGCCTGCGTCTGGACTTTTCCTGATTGACAACTGTTTGTTGGCTAATGCTTCTTTCATCTCTTAAAAATCAGAATAAAAAGTACTTACTGACTTGGTTTTTCTCAGCTAGAGAGCTTTGGCAGTTGGTATTAGGGCTGGAGATGTGGCTCAGTGAGCTAGGGATGTGACTCCTGAGCAGGCATGAGGCCCTGGGTTCAATCCCCCACCCCCCATAAAAAAGCTTAAAAAACTTTAAATAATTCTGGTATTTGTGAAGTTTAATATAAATTATGTCACAAGAAAATTTATATTGGTTTTAAGAATGGGTAAATTTGGGATAGGTAAGGGAATTACAGGAATAATAGAAAAGATAATATACAACTCTGATTTAGAAACCATTTTGTTGAAAATCTGATCACCTTTTCTTATTATGAAGTCTAATTTTTTGTGTGACATCTAAGTAGTGTTCTAGCACCTGCCCACCCCAGTGTGACCTGGAATATTCTTGAGTTAAACTCTACTCTAGTAATGATTAAAATCAAGCTTTCTTTTGGCTTTTTACACTCTTGCTTCTAAAGTGTCGGTGTATTCTGATCCTGTCACCAGCTAGTTCCCAGTAACCCAAAATAACCACTCTGTTCTGAAGACTGGCGGTCTCAGAAGGCCCTCGCTGGCCACCCTGACCTCCGGCCTTTGTCCACCCCCAGGAGGAGAAGATCGCTGCCCTGCAGGCCTTTGCCGATCAGCTCATCGTGGCTGGCCACTATGCCAAAGGGGACATTGCCACCCGGCGCAATGAGGTCTTGGACAGGTGGGTCTCCGGGCACTGATAGTCAGCACCTCAGAGAGGACGTGTTCCAAGGGTCAGAGCCTGGCCTGCTCTGTCTCCTGGCTTCCTCCTCCACAGTGAGGGACATTCACGTTTGCTCTTGGGGTTTCACTCAGGTGGCGACGCCTAAAAGCCCAGATGATTGAGAAAAGGTCAAAGCTTGGAGAGTCCCAGACCCTGCAGCAGTTCAGCCGGGACGTGGATGAGATCGAGGCTTGGATCAGTGAAAAGCTACAGACAGCGAGCGATGAGTCGTACAAGGACCCCACCAACATCCAGGTGCGCAGGCCGGGTGGGCGTTTGTCTTCAACCCTGTGCTACTGAGCCAATGCCGTTAAATAAGCATCTTTAAAGGGGGTGTACCTATGGCATAATCTCCTGGCACCCATGGTGAAGCCAGGGGAAAATATTTCAATGGTCAGAGCAGCTGAAAAGCTGCCTTTCTCGTTCTCTCTGTTGAAGCCACATCTGCGGTGAAAGCGCATGGAATCCCCTTGTTACTGCTCCAATGCTGAGCTTCCCGGGGGAAGTATGATGGCAGGATGAGACTCTGTTTGATAGCAATTTGCATGTTCACATCAGTGTACTGAACTCTTGTTCTTTTAATCTATTTTTGTAGCTTTCCAAGCTGCTGGTAAGTTCTTTTTGTTTCTACAAGTTCTAGATCCATGAGCTCCGGTACTTGTGTTCTCTCTGTAGAGTGCTGTCACTGTGGTCACACATGGTCCGCTGGTGTCTCTCCGTCCATCCCTTCATTTCTAATCCTCATCACCCTCCATCCAGTGTCCCTGTGGGATATGGCTTCCTCTGTTGTAATCAGCCTGCATCCCTCACCCCTTCTTTCCCGAGTCGCCACGTAGGCGAGTTCTGTATGGTGTTTGATTTAGGGGCAGTAGTTGCCTGCTTTCTTTTAAGGGACATTTCTTTTGGAAATGGAACAGTCAGCTTTTCTCTGTAGAATTTGGCACTGTCTTGCTTGTGGTGAGGTGCCCCATGCAGAGCAGTCTGGCCTGGTGTGAGTCTGGTGCACACCCAGAGGTGCTGGCCACTGGGGGAGCAGCTGGGCAGCTGTAGAGAGGCCCAGTCTCTCCCAATGGGAGAGGAGCAGGAGCCAGAGGTGAAGATAAGAGCAGAGATTGGAGTCTGGCATGGTGGTGACCTCCTGTATTCCCAGCACTCAGGAGACTGAGGCAGGAGGATCGCTGCACATTCAAGGCCAGTCTCAACTATATAATGAGACCCTGTCTCAAGAAAAAGAAAGAAAGAAAAAGCACACTGCTGAGCAGGGAAGGAAAGAAGACATCTCTGTCACATGTAGTTCAGAATTTGCATAAGTGGGCGGCAGGATGAAGCTGTAGAAGAGAGGAAGTGGGCTCTGAACTAAAACACGATCAGAGGAAGACACATGAGAGAATGGACTTCTGCCAGGGTCCGTGGTTGAGGCCCCTTCTGTCCTTGTGTTTGGATGGGGGTTGGAGCACACGACAAGGGCGCATCACGTTGCTGCCCCAGCCTCTTGACAATTGCTGCCTCTGAAATGAAACATCTGATGCAGAATTCTTCCCCAGCTACACTGCTTTTTTCTTTCAGTTTTCCCCCAGTAACACTCTCCCGAGACCCTGCATTTCTTACCCCTCCAGGTGTTTTGCCCAGAAGTCTGCCTCCGCTGCCATCTTCTTGCAGTTGTCTCCTATAGTGTTTCAGCATCTTCTGCTTCTTAATGAGTTCTTTAGAATTTTATCCAACTCCCCAGCCCTCTTTTCCTAGCAAAATAAATTCCCACCTACCATCAGACCTGGGTTTTGCCACCAGCTCAGTGTTTTGATTCCTGGCAGCTACCAGAGGAGAAACCAACAAAGCCAAGGTCTGTAGCAGCTGTAGATTGTCCCTCTCTTTTCAGAGGGACAGGACTTGCCACCAGATACACTGCTGTATGGTGGTCATTGCCTTAGATGGTGAGATATCCCCATGTGTGTTATTTGTTAAGAATTGCTGTCCAAGCTGGGTGTAGAGGCACACACCTGCTATCCTAGCACGTAGGAGGCTCAGGGAAGAAATTTGCCATGAGATCAAGGCCAGCCTGAACTACAGAGTGAGACCCTGTCTCAAAAGAGCAAAACAAGAAATTTCTGTCCAATGTGGACAAAGCCATGGTGGGTGGAAATTGACATGCCAAACAGATTGCAAACTGAAATTGAGACGTGTGGTGACTCCCACTTGTAATCCCAGCTACCCTGGAGTCTGAGGTAGGAGAATTGCAAGTAACAAGGCCAGCCTGGGCAATAAGCAAGAGCCTATCTTGGAATTTTTAAAAGTAAAATAAAAAAGGCTGGGGATAGTTCAGTACTCCCTGAGTTCAATTCCCCAATACTGAAAAAAAGAAAAAAACTGAAAGTGGCCATTGCCACCATCCTACAAAATGTAAGGAAGTCTGCAATTCTAGGAGTTCAGAACTACCTTTTAGACCCTGCTTGTGAGCCAGTGCACTTCCTTTCTTCTCTGGCCCTGGCCCCTGCTGAGCCCCCAGCATCACCCACGTGGTCTGTGATGCCTGCTAGAAAACATGTCAGCCCGTGGCCTAGTTCTTTGGCTTTCCCTCCACTCCGGAGCTGAGAGCCCTGCTGCTGAAAGCGAGCTGCTCTGATAGACGGTCTTGGTGTTTCAGAGCAAGCACCAGAAACACCAGGCCTTCGAAGCCGAACTGCATGCCAATGCTGACCGCATCCGTGGCGTCATCGACATGGGCAACTCCCTCATTGATCGAGGTGCCTGCGCCGGCAGCGAGGACGCGGTGAAGGTGCGGCCTGGGCGCCTGCCTGCTGTGCTGCAGGACACTCTTGAGAGCCTGGGGCATGGGAGCCAGGGGAAGTTGGGAGCAGCTCCTGTGGGTGATTCCAGTTCTGCGGGGCTTGAGGAGAGGCTCCTTCCCATCCTGACAGCCCCTTCCGCTCCCCAGGCCCGCCTGGCCGCCCTCGCCGACCAGTGGCAGTTCCTGGTGCAGAAGTCCGCTGAGAAGAGCCAGAAGCTGAAAGAGGCCAACAAGCAGCAGAACTTCAACACTGGCATCAAGGACTTTGACTTCTGGCTCTCTGAGGTACTGTGGGATGGTTCCTCTGGCCCCCAGCAGGGATTCCTAGGCATTTAGGGAGATGAGTGGGTCAGCAGCACCGACCATGAGCAGGCAGTGCTCACGGATACCGGTCCCCAGAATCCCTTGCTCTGGATGGGAGCTGCTTGGCCTAGACTGCTAAGCAGAGGGAGTGGGTGTGGAGAGAAGAGAGCTGGCCTCACCCCATTCCTAGGGAAGGCACGGAAGAGGAGGTGGGGTCTGGCTGGCGGGGAGTGGGCACTGGAGACCCTTTCTCTGTGGAGGAAGTTGGGAAAGTGCAGAGAATACAAAGAAACAGACTCCTAGAGACCACCACTAATGTCTTACAGTGTTTTCCAGTCCGTGGATATTCGAATGTGCATTTTGAGTACTTGCAGAGGTCTGTTTCTTATAGCCCAGCTCGCTGTGTGATTTTTTGTTTAGGGTGTATCAAGAGCACTACCCTAAGTCACTAAAAATTCTTCTCGAACATCAGCGACTGGGTGGGTCCCTCCCGGGGCTCTGCCATTGTCATCCTTGCCCATCGTATTGGACACGTGGGTTGTCCCCACTTTGGGGTGTGAACCTTGCTGCAGGGCACAGCTCTGTTAATCTCTACACAAACCGCTGTCCCGCCCCCCTCCCCCCCAGCGAGTTTGGAGGCCGTAGGTTGCTGTGCTCCGTACCTAGCCCCACAGGGAAGGCGGGGCCTGTGCGTAAGTTAATGGCCTGGCAGAGGCAACGGCACAGCTGGGCAGCTTGACCCAGCCCAGCAGCCACTGGACTGCCTTGAGCCTGAGAAGGGCCTGGAGCAACTTCCAGGCAGCCTGCATTTTCCAGAATACTTCATGTACACCAGAGCCTTTGCTTTGTGTGTCTCCAATGCCAGGTGGAAGCCCTTCTGGCATCCGAAGACTACGGCAAAGATCTGGCCTCTGTGAACAACCTGCTGAAGAAGCATCAGCTGCTGGATGCGGACATCTCAGCCCACGAGGTGTGCAGGGTGTGGGTGGGCGGGCGCAAGGCACAGGAGTCTGGGGCCTAGCATCATCATCAAAAAATCCTTTTTTAAAAAAATTTCAAGACGGTCTCACTGTGTAGACCAGCCTGGCCTCAAACTTGGTAGCCATGCTACTGGCTCAGCCTTCTAAGCCCTGGAATTATAGGGATGGCCCACCATGCCCATCTTTTTTTTGTTGTTTTTTTGTGCGGGGGGGTTTTGTTTTGGTTTGGTTTCTTTTTTGGTACCGGGCATTGAACTCGGGTCCTTATGCTTTCGAGGCAAGCAGCAGAACCACTGAGCTAAATCCCCGGCCCGATCATGCCCATCTTACAAATTTTAAGTTAAATTTTAAGTTGGGCATAGTGGCACACACCAGTAAATTTCAGCTACTTGGGAGGCTAAGGCAGAAAAATCACAAATTAAAGCCCAGCCTGGGGAACTTAATAAGTCTTTGTCTTAAAAACTAGCAAGGGCTGGGATAAAGCTCAGTGGTAAAGCACCCCTCGCTCCAATCCTCAGTATCTCGCAAAAAAAAAAAAAAGTTAAATCTCCAAAAGACATCTAAAAGGTTACATATCATATGATTCTTTTTTTTTTTTTTTTTTTTTGTACCGGGGATCAAACTCGGGTCCTTGTGCTTGCGCAGCAGGCGGCAAAACCACTGAGCTAAATCCCCAGCCCTACATTTCATATGATTCTGCTTCACACCAGGCATGGTGGTGCAGGCCTATAGTCCTAACACTCAGGAGGCTGAGCCAGGAGCATCGCTCTGAGTTTGAGGCCAGCTTAAACCACATAGCAAGACCCTGTGACCAAAAAAAAATGATTCTGCTTCCGTATTCTCAAAGTAAAAAGATGAGAGTTGGAGAACAGATTCCTGGCTGCCATGGGGTAAGGGAGTCCCTGGGTGCAGTGGAACAGCTTTGCATCTTGGTTGCAAGTCTGCACGTGGGAGAAAATTGCTCTGAGTTGCCTGTGCACTCACACATGAAGATGAGTGTATAAATAAGGCCTGCAAGGGCCGGGGATGTAGCTCAGTGGTTCAGCTGCCTGCCTCACAAGCGCAAGGTCCTGAGTTCCATCCCCGGTACCAAAAATTAATAAATAAGGCCTGCGGGTTGCACCTGGCCGGTTCCCAGCCATGTTGCGCCACATCTGTGAGAAATGTGCGCTGCCAGGTGATGGCTCAGGGATCCATCACAAACTCAGTGTGAAACAGGTTCAAGTGGAGAAAAGTTCAAGTACTTAGGGATTCACTTCAAATAATAATAAGTCTTACAGGGCCGGGGATTTAGCTCAGTGATTTCGCTGCCTGCTGTGCAAGCTCAAGGACCCGAGTTCGATCCCCAGTACCAAAACAAAACAAAACAAAAAGACTGGGTTTCTGCTGGGCACAGTGGCACCCACCTGCAGTCCTAGCACTGGGGCCGGGTGGCTGAGGTAGGAGGATTCCAAGCTCAAGGCCAGCAAGTTTGAGGGGAGCCTGAGCTACATAGCTGGACCTTGTCTCAGACGACAATCACAAGAAGGAATCCCTTCCTGCTGGTACAGCGTGGCTGCCTGGCTGTGAGTGGGCCATGGGCCTCCCCACGCCTTTGCCTTTGCAGCATCAGTCCAGGTGTCCACACAGTGAGAGGGCATGTCACTGAGCTGCATCCCCAGCTAGGTTTTTTGTTTTGGTTTGGTTCTGGGTTTTGATTTTTTGAGACCAGGTCTTGCTATGTAGCCCAGGCTGGCCTCAGACTCCCAGTGATCCTACTGCCTCAGCCTCCCGAGTGCCGGGTTTACAGGTGTGCACCACCACATTGAACAAGACCCAGGTATCTGACCATTCCCTTCCGTCCCTTCCCCCAGGATCGCTTAAAGGACCTGAACAGCCAGGCCGACAGCCTGATGACCAGTAGTGCCTTCGACACCTCCCAAGTGAAGGACAAGCGGGACACCATCAACGGGCGCTTCCAGAAGATCAAGAGCATGGCGGCCTCCCGGCGCGCCAAGCTGAGCGAGTCCCACCGCTTGCACCAGTTCTTCCGGGACATGGACGATGAGGAGTCCTGGATCAAGTGCGTGTCCTGCAGCTGTGCTCTAGGGCTGCAGGGCCTCCAACCATGGGTGGCGGGAACACAGGCTGCCAGGGAGGTGGGCGGTTTCGGGAGATGCCGCTAAAGGGCCACAGTCAGAGACCCTGCTGGGCTCACAGGCCACCACACTCAGGTCCACATCCTGACGTGCAGTGGCGGTGACCAGTGGTGTTGCACTGGGCCCTGCCCTGGCCCTGGGTGGTAGAACATGTGTGTCTGAGCTGGGAAGGAACAGGTCTTTAAGGAAACAGGCTTAACCTCCTGTTCCTCCACAGTGTCAGTCTGTCTTTCTTAAATGATGTAGCATGCAAGAGACCACTGCTTTATTTTAAGACAAGGTCTCTGGCTGGGCATGGTGGCGCACACCTGTAATCCCAACACTTGGGAGGCAGAGCCAGGAGGATCGCCGTGCGTTTAAGGCCAGGCTACATAGTGAGTTTAAGGGCAGCCTGAACTACATAGCGAGACCCTGTCTCAAAAAACAAAACAGGGGCCAGGGATTTAGCTCAGTGGTTTCGTCGCTTGCTGTGCAAGTGCAAGGACCTGAGTTCGATCCCCGGTTCTTAAAAACAGATAGGGTGTCACTGCATAGTGCAGGCTGGTCTTGAACTCGTGATTCTTCTGCCTTCGCTCCCAGTGTGCTCAGATTACAGGCATGCGCCACCCTGCCAGCTCCAGCAGACTACTTTGAAGGACAAACTCCTTCTTAGTTCTTTGCTTGCTTGAAACCTTAAATCATATATCTAAACCAGACTCAATGGTGCTCATCTATAGTCCCAGCTACTCAGGAGGCTGAGGCAGGAGGATTGAATGCATGCATTCAAGACTGATCTGGGCAGCATAGTAAGACCCATGTCAAAAACATATAACACCTTTCTGTGCTAATGTGGATGTAGTGGGGACATGATGAAACCGGGCTCGTAAGTGCCCTGCAGAACCCAGACACGCAGATGAGTTTGCATGTGGACAGAGAGGCTCCCAGCAGGGGCTCCCTGGAGGGACTGGCTGGTGTGTGCCCCATGGGAAGACAGGCGGGGTGTCCATGCTGGCTGACTGGCTGCACTGCCCTCGGCCTCCAGAGAGAAGAAGCTGCTGGTCAGCTCTGAGGACTATGGCCGCGACCTCACCGGCGTGCAGAACCTGAGGAAGAAGCACAAGAGGCTGGAGGCAGAGCTGGCCGCACATGAGCCGGCCATTCAGGTGAGTGCACCTGTGCAAGGATGACCAGGACAGGTACAGCCCGGCTCTGACCTCGCCAGGCCAGTCCCCGGAGGAGAGGCCAGGCTGGATGCAGAGGCCGGCCCTGCAGTCCTCGGCACAGAGGCAGTGGCACGCAGGCCCCAAGGCTCTGCCTCGCTGACTGATCTGCCGCTCTCCCCCTGCAGGGCGTCCTGGACACAGGCAGGAAGCTGTCTGATGACAACACCATCGGGCAGGAGGAGATCCAGCAGCGCCTGGCCCAGTTCGTGGAGCACTGGCAGGAGCTGAAGCAGCTGGCGGCTGCACGGTGAGTGCTTGACTAGTGTGGGCGCAGTTCAGGGCCTCTCCTGGGGCACCACGCGGTCACCTTGCCCAGGGATGCCCCTCAGGCCCGCACGGAGCTGTCCGGTCCACAGATATGGACCCTGTATGCGGTTCCCAAGTTTCCTGCCTGCAGGGCCTCATCTGCCTCGTGTCCCAGACCCTGTACATCCTGCCCTTCTTTTTTTTTTTAAACACATTAAATATCAAAATTTCAACCTGAGGAGAATACGACTTTGTTCCCATTTCCTGTAACCAGGGGTCAGCGGCTAGAGGAGTCCTTGGAGTATCAGCAGTTTGTAGCCAACGTGGAAGAGGAGGAAGCGTGGATCAATGAGAAGATGACGCTGGTGGCCAGTGAAGATTACGGAGACACTCTGGCTGCCATCCAGGTCAGGGAGAGCCATACCCCGCGCCTCACCAGGGCCCAGGACGCAGACAGGTCCTGATCGCGGGTGGCCTGTCACATGGCTGGCAGTGGACCCACTTCCTTGGTGGCAGAGGCAGAAGGTGTAGGGTGTCGGCCTCGCAGTGTTATCCTCCTGGCATTCTGCTGAGAGCCAGCCCCAGGGTGTCCTATAGGCATGGGAGGAGGAAAGACCCAAGTTGGCAGGAGACACCGCTAAATGTCACAGCCGCGTGTCCCTGAGTTCCCAGCAGCAGAGTTGCACATCAAAGGATCAGGGTGGCCATGTGCAGCCCTCTTCACTGTGGGAAGCAGCTTCCGCTGTCAGGGTGATTGAACCACTGACCTTAATCCCTGCCCCAATTGGTAGAATCATGATGAATTTGGTGGCTTCTCCCTAGCATAGCTGATTTTGCTGGGAGCAACGAGCTGGGTGTGGTGGCTGGTGCTTGGAAGGCCCCTAAGGAGATTCCCCAAGCGAGGGGCCATTTGTCCCAGGTCTTCTATGGGGACAAGGGACCTTGTAGCTTGATGAGCAGGCACTTGAGCCCCGCAGAGAGGTGTCTGACAGCAGCTTCCCCCATACTGGGTGCCACTTCTGCTGCTGCATCCGTTCCGTTCCCGCTCTCTAACCACCCTCTGTCATTGTGCCTCGGTGCTACCTCACTTTCACTGAGACTTCTGTGTGAGGGTGGGCCCACGCCAGCTTCACCTGCTCTGTCCCGGGACCCATGCCCAGCACATGTGGCTCAGTTGCTGCTGGCTCTCCACTGCAGGGCTTGCTGAAGAAACATGAAGCCTTTGAGACTGACTTCACTGTGCACAAGGACCGCGTGAATGATGTCTGCACAAATGGACAGGACCTCATTAAGAAGGTGACCGCGGGGCCTGGGTGGCTCCTGTCCCCTGCACATAGAAGGGAGGGTCATGTGACCAGCAGACCAGTGACGGAAGCACCTCTAAGGCTGGGTTTTCTCCCTTAATTAAGCAAACAGTATTGGTTCTCCTGTGATATTAGCACTTCCAAAGTGCTGCTCTTTTTTTTTTTTTTTTTTTTTTTTCCTTTTTCTCTTTTGGTACCAGGGATTGAACTTGGGTCCTTGCACTTGCAAGGCAAGCGGCAGAACCACTGAGCTAATCCCCGGCCCCCCAAAGTGCTGTTCTTAATTTCCTTCTCAATAATACAAGCTCTTTATAGAGATGACAAAATAAAAATAAAATTACATAAACTAGAAATCATTCATATCTGGGTGCTGTAATCCAAGCACTCAGGAGGCTGAGGCAGGGTGCTCACAAGTTTGAGATCATCCTGGGCTATACAGCAAGAGCCTGTCTCATTAAAAGAACAGCTGGCTGGGATGGAGCTCAGTGGTGCCGCACCTACCTGGCAAGCACATAGTCCTGAGTTCCATCCCCGGTACGGGTGGTAGAGAAACAAAATATACATATGTATGCACACATACATACACACACACATATATAAATACTGTCCTGGCTCCTTTGTATTTTCAAATACACTTTTAGTCAAGGTTTAATCGGAATGTTTAGGGCTTAACAGTTCACTGTCTGTGGTATCAAAATTTTTCTGAACTGTTGTCTTTATTGCAATGTGGTATTTTAGTGAAATGATGACTCAGGTTTTTCCAGTTTTTGGTTTTGCTATCAGAAGCACTTTGTAGCTGGGTGTGGAGGCACACACCTATAGTCTCAGCACTGTGGAACAGTGAGGCATCAAGGTCACAAGGCTGAGCGCAGCCTGTCCAACTCAGTGACTCAGTTGGACCCTATCTCAAAGAGTAAAAAGTGGCTGGGATGTAGCTCCATGCAGAGGCCCTGGTCCCTAGTAACGACTGTGACTGTGCTAAACGCCACGCCTTCCCTCCCTGTGCCATCTTCAGCATGAACTCCCAGAGCATCCCTGCTACCCAGAACCTCCATCGTGAGCCCTCGGCACGGCGTCCCTGAAGAGGCCCCGGTGGAGCGCCAGGGGCCCACTGAGATGGAGCCCCAGCCCAGGGCAGAGTGGCCACAGTGGGAGGGAGGCTGATGTGCTTTTTTTCCACCTAGAACAATCACCATGAGGAGAACATCTCCTCGAAGATGAAGGGCCTGAATGGGAAGGTGTCCGACCTGGAGAAGGCTGCAGCCCAGAGGAAGGCAAAACTGGATGAGAACTCAGCCTTCCTACAGTTCAACTGGAAGGCAGACGTGGTGGAGTCCTGGATCGGTGAGCGGACGAGCTGGAGTCAGAGAGCTGGTGCTAGGGCTAACAGAACAAGGCCCTGTGACCCTGACACAGCAGGCTGGCCCAGGGCCAGGCCAGTCAGCACCTTCACCAGCTGCCCCAGCCGAGGGTGCCATCCAGCCCCTGGGTGTGAGGAGCTGGATTCTGCCTTGGGGCCCTTGTGGCTCATGTCACGCAGAGGCCAGGTTGGGGTGCAAGGAGCAGCCAGTTGGCATCGGCCCAGGAAGGGGTGTTGGCGACTCTGGACTTAAGTATAAACCAAGTCATGCTTTGCCTCTCAGTCCTGTCGTTTCTAACATGTCTCGAGGCACTGTGAGGGGGTGGCACAGTGCCCAACTCTGTTTTCTAGGTGAAAAGGAAAACAGCTTGAAGACAGATGACTATGGCCGAGACCTATCTTCCGTCCAGACTCTCCTCACCAAGCAGGTAAGTGCAGCCACCAGGCCATTCACAGTGGGCCACAGGCGGTCGGCATCCTTCCTTGAGGTGTTTTGGTGATCTCCTGTGAGGCCCGGGATGCAGCAGTTTTCAGCTACAGCCCTGGGGCCCAGAGCTAACAGACTAACTGGGAAGCAGACTGTCCCCAGCCTTGTGGGACCTACCGTGTTTCTCCAGGAAGAAGACCTAACTGAAAAGTAATCAGCCTTGAAAACTAGAGATCGAAAATGCCGGCCTCAATCAGCCTGTCCTTAGGATGGCCACCAAGCAAGAGAACACTGAGGTCTAATCTTTGCACGACACTGGCCATTGCCGTGGTAATGACCTCCTAGGGCTTATTTGCCAGTTAGGTCTTCCTTTCAGGGAAACACGGTAGGTGTGAGGGATGCCTGTCAGTCGTCAGCAGGGACAGCCTTCCTGGGCTATCACGAAGGTAAACTGAGTTGGTGGGGAGAGCAGGTCATGTCCAAGCAGCCGTAATCTGCCTTTGAGGCCAGTACATGTGACTGAGGGCCAGCAGGAGGCGGGGACATCTAGGAAAACCTGCCTGTACCTCTGCGCTGAGGCACCATGAGAAGAAGCCCGAGTTTGGCCTGGGTCTCTCCAAGCTTGTCCTCCTTGCTCCAGGAGACCTTCGATGCAGGCCTGCAGGCATTCCAGCAGGAGGGCATCGCCAACATCACCGCCCTCAAAGACCAGCTGCTGGCCGCCAAGCACATCCAGTCAAAGGCCATCGAGGCCCGGCATGCCTCGCTCATGAAGAGGTGGAGCCAGCTCCTGGCCAACTCGGCTGCCCGGAAGAAGAAGCTGCTGGAGGCCCAGAGCCATTTCCGCAAGGTGAGGGTGGGACCAGGTCAGGCTCGGCTGGCCCATGGTGGGTGGCAGACCCAGCTCTGTCCGCTGTGGGGACCTCTGCCTCCCCAACGCTGCCCTCAGAGCCATAGCCATGCTGACCCCGGGAGGAGAGGAGGAAGGGGCGGGGAGGACTCGGGAGCTGCCCTGCTCCTCTGTGACACTCAGCCCCCTCCGCTTCCAGGTGGAGGACCTCTTCCTGACCTTTGCCAAAAAGGCATCAGCCTTCAACAGCTGGTTTGAGAATGCAGAGGAGGACTTGACGGACCCTGTGCGCTGCAACTCCCTGGAAGAGATCAAAGCCTTGCGCGAGGCCCACGACGCCTTCCGCTCCTCCCTCAGCTCCGCACAGGCTGACTTCAACCAGCTGGCTGAGCTGGACCGCCAGATCAAGAGCTTCCGCGTGGCCTCCAACCCCTACACCTGGTTCACCATGGAGGCCCTGGAGGAGACCTGGAGGAACCTGCAGAAGATCATCAAGGTGTCTATGCGGCTCCAGGGCACTCGCTGCTCTGCCCCTGGGATTGGGCCGGGGTGGAGCTGAGTCCAGGTTTCAAGCCGGGCGGAAGGTGACCTCTGCCTCCCTGTCAGGAGCGTGAGCTGGAGCTGCAGAAGGAGCAGCGGCGGCAGGAGGAGAACGACAAGCTGCGCCAGGAGTTTGCGCAGCACGCCAATGCTTTCCACCAGTGGATCCAGGAGACCAGGTGCCACCCCTGGGTGACCCCACACCCCAGCCTAGGGAGGGGGAGCTGTGCCTGGCGCTGTAGGCTGCTCACACTGTGGAGAGTTTGGCACCGCCTGCTCAGGCCCTGGGGCTGCAGGGGTGGGCAGCTGGAGTGGGGCTTGCAGGGGTCCATCCCTGGAGGTGAGGCCAGATGTGCTGGCGGGTGGCACCATCACAGCCCACGTCGGCCCCAGCAGCAGTAGCTCGCATAGGTCGAATCCGACTGGTACTCAGGTCCTTGGTTTTGTTTCTTGTCTTCCCGGTCCCGGTCCCGGTCCCCGTCCCGATTGCTGCCGCACCTGAATTCCACCGTGTCTCGTGGCCACCTGGATCTCCACAGAACCTACCTCCTCGACGGGTTAATATCGTCTTCTTGGTCCGGGCTCGTGGTGTGGTGGTGTCTCATGTGCTTGTCCCTGTGCCCCTTGTCCCTCTGTGGCCCAGCTTGCAGGGGGTCCCAGGATGGCCCTTCTGCCCACCTTTCTTGGGCACCTGAAAGGGTGTTGCCTTGCCCCAAAGGCCCCAGCCACTGCCCCACCCAGGGCCGCTCCCCAGGTGTGATGTGGTCAGGCCCTGGGGACAAATTGGGCTTCTCTTTGCCTCCATCCATGTGTTCAAGGACACCATGCCCAGCCCCCCGGTAGTCGATGGGCACGATGCTGGGTGAGTGTTGGGTGGCAGGGCAGCAGAAGGCGGAATGGCTTGGTGGTGACTTAATGTGGGGACAGGCCACCCCCACCCCTCAGAGACTATGGTGCTTCACTGGTGCCCCTGAGGTTCTGGGACAGGAAGACACAGCCTGTAGTGGTAGTGAGGGGACAAAGCTGCCCAAGCCAGTGAGGCCACATGAGCCCCCACAGCAGCAAGGGACAGGGATGGAACGCCTGGCCCGGGCCTGACCAAGCACACCCACCGCCCGTCTGCCCTTCATGCTGCCTGCTGCCCTCAGTCTCCTCCTCGCCTGCCGTGCCCTCTGGCCTGTGGCCCCTCCCAACCCCTGGCTGGCTTTGCTGGTGCCACTGAATTGCCCCACGGTGTCCCCTCCAGGCACCAAGGTGCCCTGGCCCGAGCGCTGCCAGCCAGGGCCTGGGGCCTGGTGCGCATGTCCGTCTCGGGGTGCTCCTGCTGCCTCCCTCCTTTGTATTCATTCGGTTTCTTCTCTTTGACTAGCATAGCGTATCGTCGGGTCATTCGTGTCTATCAGTATGAAGTTGGGGATGACCTGTCTGGAAGGTTTTTCTCCTCTTATTCTCTTCTTCCCTCACTGTGGTTTTCCGATGCACTGTGGCCTCCCCGGCGGCTCTGCTTTCTGACTAACACACTCTGGGCCACTTGGAAGGAGGCTCCGTCCCCACTGCACCGGCCCTGCCTCTTGCTTCTGGCCCCAGTGCCCTCTTCCCCCAGGCAGGACCCAGGGCCTTGTCTGCTGGATCTCTCTGGACTGGGGAGACTGGGCTCACCCTGGCTCACTGGGCTTTGGGCAGGTGGGGACAGAGGAGCCTGGGCTGCATGCTGTGTGAACGCATCCCTGCATGTGACCCCAGATCGTGTGCTGTCTCTGTTCACTGGTGGCCTTTTGTGACGTAGCACTGTTTGGGGGAGAAGGGCTCCCCCAAGGCCACCTGCTCCTCAGAGCCTGCCCTAGCTGTTGGTGACAGATCTAGGCTTCCATGTCCCTTCCTCGGGCAGGACAAGGGCCACTTCCCAAACCCACGCCTGCACCCCAGCCAGCACCCCCCTTCTCTGCTGTCCCTCCTGGATCACAGCTTCCTCCATGGGCACCTGCCACACCAAAGGTCTCTGTTAGGCCTGCAGCTGCGGGGTGACAGGGAAAAGTGTTCCCTGCCCTCCTGGCCCTCGGGGCCTGTCAGGAAGCAGATAGGTTTTGTTTCCTGAGAAAGGATGTGCAGGCTGCCAGGCATTGTTCACCCGAGTGAGCTCTGCTGCCTGAACCCGGGCCCCTCCTCACTGAGCTTCTGTGTTTAGGTCCTGCATGGTGGAAGAATCTGGAACCCTCGAGTCCCAGCTTGAAGCCACCAAAGTGAGTGCCCTGGGCTCCGGGCCCAGCTCAGCCCCGCTCACCATCACTCAGGCTTGCTCTTGCTGCTTGGTCTGTCAGCACCCGATGGGTGGCTGTGCCTCTGCTGGCTCAGAATGACCCAAGATTGATGTTGCAGCGGCTTGGCTACCTGGAGCCCTGCTTGAAAGGGAAGCAGCCATTTGGCCCACAGTCCCTGCTGCCCCTGCTGTTGCCCCCTATTGCCCTCTACTCGCCCAACTCTGGGGGTCTCGGGCCTGGCCCCATCTCATGCATTTCTGCCCTGCCCTGCAGCGCAAGCACCAGGAGATCCGAGCCATGCGGAGTCAGCTGAAGAAGATCGAGGACTTGGGAGCCGCCATGGAGGAGGCCCTCATCCTGGACAACAAGTACACGGAGCACAGCACTGTGGGCCTGGCCCAGCAGTGGGACCAGCTGGACCAGCTGGGCATGCGCATGCAGCACAACCTGGAGCAGCAGATCCAGGCCAGGTATGGGCGGGGCAGGCAGGGGCCAGGCCCTGAGGTCAGCAAGAACGGGCCCCTGCTGCGTGTGGGGCTGGCTTCTCATCCTGCTGCTCTTCCAGGAACACAACAGGTGTGACCGAGGAGGCCCTCAAGGAGTTCAGCATGATGTTTAAGTGAGCAGGTTCCTCCCGGGCCCGGGCTGGGGTGGTGCGGCAGCCAGGCCACATACTGAGCAGCCCTGGGCTCTGTGCCACAGACACTTTGACAAGGATAAGTCCGGCAGGCTGAACCACCAGGAGTTCAAGTCCTGCCTGCGCTCGCTGGGCTACGACCTCCCCATGGTGGAGGAAGGGGAGCCCGACCCTGAGTTTGAGGCCATCCTGGACACGGTGGATCCCAACAGGTGAGCATCAGGGACGTGGTGGTGTCCGTGGCCTGGCCCCCAGCCCGCCCTCCACTCACTGTCCTCCCCCATCCCTCCCCAGGGATGGTCATGTCTCCCTGCAAGAGTACATGGCTTTCATGATCAGCCGCGAGACGGAGAATGTCAAGTCCAGCGAGGAGATCGAGAGCGCCTTCCGGGCCCTCAGCTCCGAGGGGAAGCCCTACGTCACCAAGGAGGAGCTCTACCAGGTGCGCGCCAGCCACAGGGCCTTGGGGACATGCATGGAACCTGGGGCTGCGCATGAGCGAGCGCCCTGTGCTGGGTCTCAGGTTTCGTCCCATGTGCAGACAGCTCTGGTCGGGCCTGGGGCTGCGCTCGTGCTGACTGTCGCCCCCTCTCCAGAACCTGACCCGGGAACAGGCCGACTACTGCGTGTCCCACATGAAGCCCTATGTGGACGGCAAGGGCCGCGAGCTGCCCTCGGCCTTCGACTACGTGGAGTTCACCCGCTCGCTCTTCGTGAACTGACCCCTGCCCACCCGCCCCTGTCGCCTGCTGCATGTCCGCCCCTCAGACAGTGTCATTTCATTGTAGCCATGAGCCTGCTTCGCTTGGGTGAGATGTAGTAGAAACTGGCCTTCAGTAACCACTTCTGGTTCAGTCACAGTCAGCGCCCGTGGTGGGACCGCCATCTGTCAGAGCCAGCTGCCCTCATTCCGACTTAGAAAATCCGGAGCAGCTGGCTCCTGCCCCGCCTTCACCCCATCCCCATCTTCTGTTTTCACATAAAGACACGAAATAAAGGACTCACTCTCCCCTGAAGGCTTTTCCTCTTCATTCTGCTCACACCTGACCCACACAGCCGGCTGCTCCATCGCCCTCAGGGGCCACCTCGGCTGCCAGCCGGTCCAGGTCCTCCATCTCCCGGGGCCCTTGTTCCGTGAGGGCAGTGCTCAGCCCCCACACCTTCACTGTGCCCTTGGCGTCGCCAGCAGCCAGGAGCTGGGGCTGCTGTTTGTTAAACTCAAGACAGTAGACGGGGCTTCCGTCCTGGGTCTGCGAGACGGACACTGCGGGTTTCTGGGAGCTTCTCTGGAGGTCCACCAGCTGCACGGCACCTGTGGGGGTCAAGGCCGTGGCTCTGCCTGCGCCCCACACGCCAGGGCTCCGCGGCTGGGTCTCTGGAGGTTGGCTCCGGCCCAGTGGCCTTTCCCTACCTTCCCCAGAGGCCACCGCGAAGAGCAGGGGACGCGCAGGGGACCAGCGCACTGCAAACAGGTACTGCTGGGACAGGCGCAGGGAGGCCAGGGGCTGGGCCTGCAGCGCCGAGTGCAGGTGGGCGTGGCCGTCCGTGCCCGCGCTCAGGAAGAGGTTCCTATACGGCGCGGTACAGGGTGTTTGTTCCTGGGGCTGGGGCTGGGGCTCCTCATCTGAGCCTCCCCGGCCCCCAAGTTAGCACGGGTCCTCGGGCAGGGGATTCTGGGGAGAGTGGGGCGCAGGCGGCGTCCCCCACCTGTGGAATGGGGAGCAGCTCACGGAGTAGATGGGGCCTCCTTGTGGCGAGAAGGCGAAGCGCGCCGGGGCCCGCAGGGGCACGGAGCTGGGCGTCCGCACCAGGGCCGCCTCTTCCGCCGCCAGGGAGCACTTGAGCGGGAAGCCGCCCTCCGTGCCCAGGATGAAGAGGTTGGGGTCGAAGCTGGACAAGGCCACCGCCGTGGCGCCCACCTCAGTCTCGCCCCGGGGAGGCTGTGGGGCGACGGCGGGGTCACGGGTCACGGCCATGGGCCTCCTCCTAGGTGCCAACCCCAGGCCGCGCCCTCTCGCGCACCTTCCTCAGCCTGGCGCTCCGCGGCAGCTGCTGCATGGCCAGGGCGAAGCCCTCTCGGAGCTGCAGGGGGCCCGTGCCGCCCCCCTGCCACAGCAGCACCTTCCCGTCGGGAGCCACGCTCAGCAGCCGGAAGCGGTGGCTGTGCCCAGCCTCGGGCAGCCACACCACCTGCGACGACAGGGAGGGCCAGTGAGAAGGGGCTGGCTGTGTGCAGCCCACTTCCCTTTGCAGGAAAACTAGGGTCCCGGGTCCTGCCCGGCCCGGAATCCGGGCCACAGGAAGGAAGGGGCTGGGACACCACAGGGCCGCGGCTGCACCAGACATGACTCGTGCGTCCAAGGGCCCTGGTGACCTCCCTAGGCCAGGGGTGCCCCTCCCGCGGGGGAAGTGGGAAGCCGCCTGCTCTGCAGCCCCGAACCTGACCTGGCACACGGGGTCCGTGTGGGTGTCATCCGTCAGGCCTGTGCGCCACAGCAGCGGGTCCTCCCGCCGGCTCAGGTCCCACAGCAGCACCTCACCGCTGTACAGCCCTCCTGCGGGACCCGCCCACCGTGAGCCCCGCAGCCCAGCCACGGGGCGGGGTCAAAGGGCCCCTGTGCGGAAAAGGGCTTGAGAAGGGTCCCCTGGGGAGTCCTGGTTCCTGGTTCCAGGGGCCGCAGACCCAGCCCCCCAGGCTCCCTTCCCACAAGCTCCGTACCCCACACGCAGGCCCCAGGTTTTCCTCGGGCCCAGCTACCCGCTTCCCGCCCCCTCACCCTTGCGTTCACCTGCGACCTGGGAAGGCTGAGTGGGGTGGAAGGCCAGGCACATGACGGCGCTGGGCACCTCCACCACTGCCGACGGCTGCTGGGGGTGCAGGCCGCGCCGGTCCAGGTTCCAGGCGCACACGTAGGACTTAAGTGTGCTCCAGTCCCCATCGTCCAGCCTGCACAGGACGAGCCGCAGCTGTCAGGCTCCTGTCACCTCCTCGCCTCCACCCCTCTGTGCCCACATGCCGTGCCCCGGTACCCCAGAGGTGCAGCCCATGCACGGCCCCGACAAGGGCAGGACACTCTAGGAAGAACCCGAGTGCCGAGGGTGGCTCTGTGCAGTGGGGCAGGGAGGCCAGGCACCGAGGAGCAGGCACCAAAGGGGCTGACAGGGAAGGCGAGGCAGGCCAGCCTAACCAAGATGCCCAAAAGAGGCCAGGTTTGGGAACCAACCCTGGGGAGACAGAGGCCTGGATGAGTATGGGGTCCCCACTGCCCCACCACTCACCGGCCGTAGGCACAGGCCAGCACAGAGCCGGTGGCGTTCCAGGACACGCTGGTCACATGCAGACCCTGGCCCTGGGCCGGCGGGTACCCCAGCGTGTGCAGACAGGTCACCTGCAGAAACAGCCGTCCCCACTCTGAGCCCCGAGACGCCCACCAGGTTGTCAAGCTAGGACAAAGCTCCACCCAGGCCTGGACAGGGAAAGCCCTCAACACTGGCCAAGCACACTGGCTGACCCGGAGGAAACTGCAGCCCTGCGGATGTCACTTCAACAGCCAAGCCCCAAGCCAGCTGCGGACCGGGGCGAGGGCCACGCTCACAGGGGCTCCACACAAGCAGCCAAAAGGGGCATCACCTGCAGCTGGGGAGGGGTGACACCTGCAGTGTGAAGAACTCAAGGACAGACACCTGAGAAGGGCAGACATGGTGGATTCTGCTCCTTTTTTCTCTACTACTGAAGATGGAACCCAGGGCCTCATGCTTCCCCAGAACAACATCCCCAGCCCTTTTCTATTTGCTGATAGAACTTGTGATCCTCCTGCCTCAGCCTCCTGAGCAGGTGGGCTACTTTTTAGTGTCCATCTGTGTGACCTGCAGCCATAAATGGAGATCTCAGTACTGTACTGCCTCAGCGGGCACAGTGCGCAGCTGCTAGCCCAACCCTGCCTGCCCTGTGCTTGCTTGGTTTCACCCTGGACAAGTGGCTTCCCCTCCGGGGGTCCATTCCCCCAACTGCACTCAGGGGAGACTGATGGGACCAACCCCCGGGAAAGTAGGGCAGGCTCAAGGATTTATGCTTGCAAAGCTTAGCTCAGGCCAGCTGTTGGGGGCACATGTCTGTGCTTCTCCATTCTGGGAGGCTGAGGCAGGAAGATCACAAATTCAGGCCCAACCTGGGCAACTTAGTGACTTAGCAAGACCCTCTCTCAAAATAAAAAGGACTCGCCAGGGATTTCGCTCAGTGGCACCGCACCTTCTCTGCAAGCACAAGGTCCTGAGTTCGATCCCCGGTACAAAAAATAATAATAAAAATAAAAAGCACTGGAGATGTCCCTCAGTGGCATGGCCCTGGGTTCAACCTCCAGTACCGCCAAAAAGGAGAGATTTAGTCCAGCACCCGGCAGAAAAAGGAGCTAGATGAATGCCAGCTGGGCTGGCACTACGACCGGTAGGTGGGGCGTCATCACGGGTCGTCGCCAGCCCTACCGTCTGCTGCGGCTCGGTCCAGGTCACCTCGAAGCCATCGAAGGCGTGGCTCTGCCAGTTCCGGCTCAGCTCGCGGGTGACCGCCGGCTCCACGCGGCGCAGGAAAGCAAGCAGCCTGGGCTCGTCGGGCCTGGGCACGGGGGGCGCAGGCCGCACCGGGGCCTCCGTCTGCACCTGGGCGTCCTCGCGCTTCCGGCCCTGGGTGCCCGCGTCAGCAGTGGCGATGCTGGCTGTCTGGCAACTCTTCTGGGAAGGAGAGCAAAACTCGTATCGGCCCAGCTGTACCCCAGACACCCGACCGGTGGCACCCGGCCACCCTGCCCCACGCTGTCCCCTCCCCTTTCTAGAGTGGGCCTTAAAGGACCCAGAGCCTTGACGCATCACTCAGTCCTGGCCCACTGACCTCAAGCAGCCAATCAGAGAACCACATCCTCCACCCCCACCACAGTGATTGGCTCAGGGGTGCCCATGTGACGCAAATGAGCCAATAAGAGCCTGCCCCAGAATTTTAAGTGAATCTATTTGAGGAAAGAGCGCCCTTTCTGATATGCTGGCAACCCTAGAACCACAGCTAGTGGAGCACTGGCTCACTCTTCCACCTCCAAATACTCAGGAGACTGGGGCAGGAGGTTTGCAAGTTCAAGGCCACCCGGGACAACTTAACAAAACCTCATCTACAAAATCTCATTAACAAAAGAATTACAGCGTCTCGGAAGCAGCCTGGGCTACCTGGTCTGGCCCCTCGCCGCTCACGGTCCCCCACCTCCCTTAGGCGGCCAGATGAGGGAGTACCTCGGGAGGAGCAGCGCCCTGGCCCTCTCTCCACCCCGCCACCTTCCCCAGGTCCTTCTTCTTCCTGCTCAGCCGGCCACTGACACCGGGTCCTGAGATGTCCTGGCACACGGCCAGTCTGCACAGATGTGGGCTTCCCGGGTGGGACTAGCACTGCGACCGCTGTCGGTAGCCATCCATGCACAGGGTCCCCACCTCAAGCAGACGCAGAGTCCCAAGTACCAGGGAGCACCTGGCCCTCCAGGCAGCACTCTGTAGGATACTCAACACAGAACCCATACCCCCTGCCCACCTGAGTCCTGGTAAACCGGGCTTGGTTGACACCCTGACCATCTGCATGGCCAGCACCAGGCACAGTATGTGGCAAACAGATATTCATTCTTAGGAAAACACATGTGCTGGGCGTGGCAGCACCTGCCTGTAATCCTGTCACTCAAGAGGCTAAGGCAGGCGGGTTGCTGTGAGTTGGAGACCAGCCTGGGCTACACAGCAAGACCCTGTCTTGAAAAATAAAAATACATAAAAATAAATTTCAGGCCGGGGATGTAGCTCAGTGGTTCCAGCGCCAGCCTCGCAAGCAGAAGGACCTGAGTTCGATCCCTGATACCAATAAATAAATAAATATAAATAAATAAATAAATAAATAAATAAATTTCAAAAACAGGCAGCACCAATAGCCCAGTGTTCTGTGGGCACACAGCAGATTTGCAGAGGAGCTGGAGGGACAGGGAAGCTGCAGGCTGGGATGCACACACTGAGATGCACAGGACAGCAGAAGCCGCCAACTAGGGATCAGTGGGCAAGAGTCAGGTGGGGCCAGAGCTTGGCCCTCTGGGGCAAGGGCTGCTAACCAGCTGTGGCAGTGCACGCCTGGCATCCAGCGCTCCGGGAGGCTGAGGCATGAGGACTGCAACTTGGAAACCAGCCTGGGACATTTCAAGAGATTTTTTTTTTTTTTTTGGTACTGGGGATCGAACTCGGGTCCTTGTGCTTTCGCAGCAGGCAGTGAAACCACTGAGCTAAATCCCCGGCCCTTAAAGAGATTTTTTTCCTTTGGTTTTTCGACAGGCTTTCGCTATGTAGTTCAGGCTTGCCTCGAACTTGCAGCGATCCTGCCCTCAGTAGAGATCTTGTCTCAAAAAAAGGAGTGGGGATACAGCTCAATGCAAAGGCCCTGGCTTCCATCCCCGGTACCATAGAAAGAGAAGGGATGGGAAAGAGAGAAAGGAAAGCAAGAGAGGAAGGAAGGGAGGGAGGATAACAGGTCAGGACAGGCAAGGCTGGGGCCGGGCCTGGACACCGCCCAGCGGTACAGTGCCAGCCGAGCCCGAGATCCCCAGCGCTGCAGAAAAACAAAATCCCGAAGGCAGAAAGGTGGGCTGTACGCTCTGCGACCCCGGGCAGGCAGTGTGTGCGTGGCCTCGAGCCACCAAGAGCTAGGGTCCCCTCTGGGATGAGGCCCAGACCACTGTCAGCAGGCAGGACAGAAACCGAAGCCTCTCTGCCACTCAGGGAGGCGAGCGGGGCGGGGCCGGAGTCCAGACTTGGGGAATCATTCGGAGGGAGCAGGGCGTCAGGCCCCGGATGTGAGCTCAGCGACCAGAGAGGGCCTGGTGTGGCCTGCAGGGCTCTCGGCCGTTGTCCAGCAAGCTCCGCAGAGCTCGGGGCCGGGGACAGCGGCAGGCAGACGTGCCACTGGAGGCCACAGGACCTGAGGAGATGGAAGGAGCGGGCACAGGGGGCACAGCACCACAAGGGAGCCTCATCCTCCTCCTCCCCACCACACCACAAAGGAAATCTGATGTGACAACACTGAAAGCCACACAGAAATGACCCAAGTCAGGAGCAAAGGGTGACTCATAATTCCCGCACTGGGGAGGCTGAGGCAGGAGGCTCGCTGGTCCAGGCCAGCCTGGGCTACACAGTGAGTTCAGGCCAGCCTGAACTACAAAGCAAGATCTTACCTCAAAAAACAAAAAACAAACAAAAAAAGGGATCAGAGATCAAATTAGGGAGAGGAATACAAGTAATTTTCACACTGTGCTTTTAAGCAGACTGCAACTTCAGGCCGAATCACCCCAGGTCCTCCACGCCTGGACCCCCCAGGCTTGATTTTTAGTTCCAGGTCCATCTCACCCCAAACCCCTTAAAGAGATTATAAATCCAGGAATTAACCTAGTTGATACGGCAAAAGGCACCAACCTGACCTTAAAATAAACAGATTCAGGGCCAGGGATTTAGCTCAGTGGTTCCACCACCTGCCTCGAAAACAGAAGGATCTGAGTTCAATCCCCAGTACCAAAAAGAAAAAATTCAGATTCAGCCAAGTGTGCTGGCACATGCAGATAATTCCAGCACTTGGGAGGCTGAGGCAGGAGAATCACCATGAGTTTAAGGCCAGCCTGAACTACATGGCAAGACCCTGTCTCAAACAAACAAATGTAAAAAACAACAACAACAAAAAAACATAAAGAACCAAAAAAAAGAGCTAGGGGTGTAGCTCAGTGTAAAGTCCCTGGCTTCAATCCCTACTACTAAAAAAAAAAGAAGTCTAGGGGCCAGGGATTTAGCTCAGTGGTTTCGCTGCCTGCTGCGCAAGCTCAAGGACACGAGTTTGATCCCCGGTACAAAAAAAAAGTCTAGCAGGCTGAGAAGCAGAGACGCATTCTCCTGGACCCCACACCCTGTTTAAAAGCACTCTGGGCTGGGGATGGAGCTCAGCGGACAGACCTTGCCTGACAGGCACAAGGCTCTACCCCATCCCTAGCACAGATACATGTGTAAAAGTCACCTCTAAAAACAAAAACAAACCCTCTCGAGGGTCGTGAAGGCTCATCAATTCCAGAACACTGGGAGACTGAGGCAGGATTGAAAATTCCCCTGGGTTCAAATCCCACTTCCAAAAATAAAATATTGTCCAGCAGGGGGCGCCACATGCTGTTGGACAGATCAGGCCAAATATCCAGGGATGGGATGAGGGCAGGGCTCATATTAGGTCCCCATGGAGGGCGGCAGGATTTCTGGAAAGCAGAGAGAAAATACACAAGATCCACCCTGTCCCTCAGGGTCCCTGTCAAAGATGTGCCCCACTGAGGCAAAAAAATGCTGGAGCTATGGGGGGAGGGGCCCTGAAGGTGTCACCCCTAAAAGAATGGGATCCCATTAAATCTGAATCACACTTCCAAATTACTAAAATAGGGCTGAGGATGTAGCCCCAGGGAGGAGCATTTGCCTAGCATGCATGAGGCCCTGGATTTGACTTCCAACATTGAAGAAAAAAAAAGGCTAAACTAGCCAAGCTCAGCGGCACATGCCTAGAGCCCCAGCACTCAGGAGGCTGAGGCAGGAGGATCATCTGAGCCGACAAGTTTGGGGCCAGCTCATCTTCAAAAAATAAGAAAGAAAGAAAAAATATATATGATAAGTGCTAGACTAGGATGTGGCTCAGCAGCAGAGCTTGAGGCCCTGGATTCATCCCCAGCGCTGCAAAAATAAAAAATAAAAAACAGATCTGCAGGTCAGGCCACAGGCCAAGAAAGTCAGACTCCCTCAGGGTGATCACAGGCCTTTCATCCCATAGGGGCTGCGCTGAAGAAGTGGGGGTATCAGGGGCTGGTTAGGGGTCTCCCGCTCAGCCCCTCACACGCAGCTCCACCAAACAGTGCTGCTTTCAAATTGCTTTCTGCTCAGCAATCTCATTAAAGGTCAAGATCAAGCCCCTTCCAACCCCACCTCACACCAGGGCCTTGTCCCTCTGTGGAGAGAACAGCATACAGCAAGAAAAACTGCACCAAAGCCAGGCGTAGTCATGCCTATGGTCCCAGCACTCTGGGGGCTGAGGCAGGAGGATCACAAGTTCAACCCCAGCCTGGGCAACTTAGCAACTCAGTGAGGTCCTGTTTTAAAAAAAATTTTTTTATTTTAATTTTACTTTTAACCTACAGGTGAATACTTTATCTACCAGAAAATTAACAAGCCTCCATCTCATTCTCTGTCCAAAAAAAAGTGTTAGGGGCTGGGGATTTAGCTCAGTGCTTTCATCGCCTGCTATGCAAGCGCAAGGATCCGAGTTCAATCCCCAGTACCAAAAAAAAAAAAAAAAAAAAGGGTTAGAGGCCAGGGATTTAGCTCAGTGGTTCCACTGCATGCCTTGAAAGCGAAAGGTCCCAAGTTCGATCCCTGGTACCAAAAACAAAAACAAAAAGAAGTGTTAGAACAGGGTGTGGTGGTGTACACCTAAAATCTCAGCACTCACGAGGCTCAGCTGGGAGGATCACTGTGAGTTCGAGGCCAGCCTGTCTCAAAAAAATAATGTTAGACTGAATCAATGACTCCAACCTGGAATCTTCAGCAATAGCTATTTTGAGTCATTTTTTAAAGGTCAGTGCATGAATCATGTTCACCTGCAGTGAGGACAGAGCCTGAACCAAAATGACCATAGCCTTTGTGACTGGAGCCAGTCCTAGGCAGCATGGCACAGTGGGAGGTGCCCCAGAGCCAGGTGAGACCAGCCGCTAGATCTCCGGCAAGATACTTGTCCCCAAGAGCCAGACTTCAGGGGATATCACTGGTGTTGGTGGGGACCTAGGCTACCTACCTGCAGGTTCAACATCAATCTCTCTCTCTCTCTCTGTTGCTTTTTGTTTTGTTTTTTTTGTTTTTTGGTACCTGGGATTGAACTCGGGTCCTTGCACTTGCGAGGCAGGCTGTGGAACCACTGAGCTAAATCCCCGGCCCATCTTTTTGCTGCTTTTTGTTTGGTTGGTTGGTTGGGGTTTTTTGTACCGGAGATCGAACTCGGGTCTTCGCGCTTTCGGGCCAGGTAGTGGAACCACTGACCTAAATCCCCAGCTTGCTGTTTTTTGACGCAAGGTCACTCCCGTGTTGAACTCACTATGTAGCCCAGGCTGGCCTCAAACTCCCAGGGATCCTCCTGCTTCAGCCAATCAAGTACTGGGATTACAAACTTGTGCCACCACACCTAATTTTCTCTTCTGGAAATAGGCAGCACCCTATAACACAGCTCACTTGTGGGGGGGCGGGTTGAGACAGGATCTTGCTGTGTAGTCCTGAATGGCCTTGAACTCACAATGCACTCCAGGCTAGCCTCGAACTTGCAGTGATCCTCCTGCCTCAGCCTCCCGAGTGTTAGGATTACAGGTATGTGCCACCATGCCAAGCCACAGCTCATTTTGATTCACGTGAAAAGCCCAGTCCAGCTAGATGCGGCGGTGTACCAGGGCCCCAGGATCTCTGCACTTGAGATCAGTTCTGCCAGGACCGCTTTAGCCCAGGCACACACTGGGCTAACGCTCATCATCCCAAAAGCCCCACCCTGCAACCCGCCCTCGGCCAATGCCTCCGTCCGTCCTTCCGTCCGGCACTGTTCACCTCCTAACACTACTCCGCTCACTCTTTCACTACGCATTGCTCTTGTTCCATCCAGCAACTGCCCGAGCAAGCTCGGGGGAGGGTGACATCTGTGTCCCTCGCTCCTGGGCTCGGGGCCATCAAGGCCGGGGCTCCTCGGGGCGCACCTTCTGCGTGCTCTGACTATAAACAGCAGAACCCCGATTTACCCAGACCTGAAGATGCAGTGTGGTCTTTTTCTTTTCTTTTTTTTTGGTGCGAGGGATCGAACTCGGGACCTTGTGCTTTCGAGGCAGGCGCCGGAACCACTACGCTAAATCCCCGGCCCCTGGTCTTCTTTTCTTAAAAACAAAACCTTCCACGTGGTCGGACCCTTAAAAGCTTTAACTTTCTGTGGTAACTGAAAGGACGGGAAAGACTGGCCGAGAGCAGGCCCTGATCAGTTCTTCGGATTAAAACCCCAAAGAAAGCGTGGGCCGCCAGAGCCTCTCCCACCGCCGCTCAGATCGCCCCGCGCGTCCCCGCGCCCTCACCGTCTCCCCGCGGACGCCCTGGACGCCCCTCCATTGCGAGGGCACGGACGCCAAGCCCAGGGTCTCGTCCTGCAGCGGCCCGGGCCGCCAGGGCCCATGGGCGCCCGCAGCCCCGCCTGTCGCCAGCTCCCCTGCACTCGCGCGTCCCGCCTGACAGAGAGGCCTAGACTGCAAGCGCGTTGCCATGGCTACAGCCCCCCCTCGCGCCGGCGCACTGAGACCCGACCTCTGCTCCCAACGCTCTGTGGAGCGGAAGACAGGCGAGTTGAAACCGGCAGCACCATTTTTGAAGTGGTCAAAGAGAGGCCCGTTCCCCGCCCCCCCCCGCCCCCCCAAGGCTGGGTCGGGGGGACAGGAAAGAATGATTCCTTTCAGCAGTACGACAAAAGTGACTGGTTTGGAGTTCTCTATTCCCAGACAGGACATGCATGGGGCAGGCGAAGATATGGGGGAGGGGGGGCCGGGGGTTTGCTATAAGTGCGGAAGTGAGGCCGAGATGCCAGGTGAGGCCGAGATGCCAGGTTCAGAGATGGCGCTGAGTGGCCAGGCGCAGAGGTGATGGTGGAGGCTTCAGCCTGGCGGGCGCGGAGAGCTGGGCGAAGAGCGCAGAGCGGCCCTGCGACAGCTTGCACCACTCGATAGGGTGGGCGGCCACCGCGAATCCAAGGACCCGCCCTCAGAGCCCCAGTTTCTGTTTGAATAGAATGATGATCTCATTCTCAGATCCCTAATGAGGAACTAGATCCCTGGAATGCTTCTTAAATCGACATTAAAAAGTGCGCAAAAAACAAAACAAAACAAAGAAACACCAAAAACAAAAACCCCCACAAACAAACCTTCGCCTAGTGCATGTCTGCAACTCTTAACACTCGGGAGGCTGAAGCAGGAGCATTACCCAGAGTTCGAGACCAGCCTGGACTATATAGTGAGTTCAAGGCCAGCCTGTACTACAAAGCAAGACCCTGTCTCCAAAAAACAAAAACAATAAAAAAAAGAATAAAGAAGGAGTGGGGCATAGTGGTGCACGCCTGTAATCCCAGCACTGAGGAGGCTGAGGCAGGAAGGACATCATGAGTTCAAGGTGAGCCTGAACTACATAGGGAGACCCTGTCCCAACAAACAAACAAATAACAAAATAAAAAGTGCTAAACCGGGCTTGGTGATTCACTCAACTAATGCCAGCACTCTGGGAAGCTAAGACAAAAGGATCGAAAGTTTGAGCCCAAGCTGGACAGTTCAGCAAAACCCTGTCTCAAAATAAAAAAGAAATACGGGCTGGGGATTAAGCTCCGTGGTTTCGCAGCCTGCTGCACAAGCGCAAGGACCCGAGTTAGATCCCCCGGTATCAAAAATAAACAAATAAAATAAATAAAAAAGAAACAGAGGCTGGGGATTTAGCTCAGCGGCACTGCACCTGCCTTGAAACACCAAGGTCCTCACTTCGATCCCGAGTAACAAAAAAATAAATAAAAATAAAAATAAAAAAGGTAAAAGGTCTGGGAACATAGCTCAGTGTGAAGGCCCTGGGTCCAATCCCCGCCTACTAATTTATTTTTGTTTGTTTGTTTTGGTTTTGGTTTTTTGGTACTGGGGATGAACTCGGGTCCTTGCGCTTGCGCAGTGGGCGGCGAAACCACTGAGCTAAATCCTCGGCCCCCGCCTACTAATTTAGAAAAATGAGATGCAATAGAAATGTCTTCTTACAAAGTAAAACTAGATAAAATACTCCTTATGAAGTCTTCTTGACCCTGGAAGAATTTGCAAACATCATCAAGGTTTCCAAAAGGCAGACTCAAAAAAGAAGCCAAAAATCAGGGATGGTGATGCACGCCTGTAATCCCAGTGCTTGGGACGCTGGGGCCGAAAGATCCATGAGTTCAAGGCCAGCCTGAGATACATAGTGAGACCCTGTCTCAAAAACCAAAACAAAAAAAGAAAAAGAAGAAGAAGAAGAAGCTAAAAGCTTTGGGAGTGATTTGAAGCCTGGAAAGAAACTGAGAAATCTGTATTCTGTTACAGGCTTGGTGTAATCAAGAGAATAAAATGAATGTTTAAACATTAGGAGCACAGGAATGGGGGGGCTTTAGAGCTAGACTGTGCTCCAGCCCTCTCTGCAGAGAGCCAGAGTGGCACTGGGCTCCGGGGCAGCCAGCACGGGGTGCCTCTCCAGCCATGGTTTCCCAGATGGAGAATCCGCTAGGCAGACCCCTCCTTTGCATGGCCGAGGGAGAGCATTACAGAAAGACAAGAGTGCTTTCTTCAGTGCTGCAAAGAGCTGGAAAAGATAAGGTCAGGTTGGGCACCTGCGTCACACCTGAAATCCCAGCTGTTTGGGAGGCTGAAGGAGGAGAATCTCAAGTTCAAGGCCAGACTGGGCACGGCTTAGAACTTGTCTCAAAATTTAAAAATTCCCAGCACTCAGGAGGCTGAATTCTCAGGAGGAGAATTGCTACAAAATAGAGGACAGCCAGGGCTATATAGTGACCTCAAGACCACCCTGGACTATATAGGGAGAACCCATCTCAAAAAAACCAACAACACCTGGCTGGGGATTTAGCTCAGTGTTTCCAGTGCCTGCCTCAAAAGCACAAGGTCCCGAGTTCAATCCCGAAACCAAAAAACAAAAAAACAAAAACAAAACTAACAACAAAAAAAGTAGGACTGGGTGTAGCTCAGTGTTACAGTGCGTGTCTACCATGTGCAGATTCAATCCTCTGCACCAGCAAAAAACCCCAAAGTTATATATACTGTGGAACACACTAGAAGATCCAGAAACAACTCAGCCACCTTATCTTTTTTTCCTTTTTTGTACCAGGGATTGAACTCTGGACCTTGTACTTGTGAGGCAGGTGGCAAAACCACTGAGTGAAATCCCCAACCCCTCAGCCACCTTATTTTTGACAAAGAAGCCAAACACCTTCCCTAGAAGAAAGACAGCCTTTTTTTTTTTTTTTTTTGGTACCAGGGATCGAACTTGGGTCCTTGCGCTTGCACAGCAGGCAGTGGAAACCACTGAGCTAACTCCCTGGCCCTAAACCAGCCTTTTTAATAAACAGTGCTGGAAAAACTGGCTTTCCACATGCTGAAGATTGAAACTAGACCCATATCTTTCACCATGCACTAACCTAAAATTGAAATGGAATAAAGATCTAAATATTAAAACAGAAACACTAAATCTGCTGGAAGAGAGTAGGTAGAACGCTTGAGGACATAGGAGTAGGCAGAGACTTCATGAACAAAACCCTGACTGCATAGGAAATACTCCAAGGAATCAACAACTGGGACCACATCTTATTTAAAAGCTTTTCCACAGGGTCAGGGATTTAGCTCAGTGGTTCCACCGCTTGCCTCGCAAGTGCACGGACCCAAGTTTGATCCCCAGTACCAAAAAAAAAAAAAAAAAAAGCTTTTGCACAGCAAAAGAAACCACCAACAGAGTGAAAAGACAACACACAGAGTGGGAAAAATTTTTTACCAGCTATTCATCAGACAAAAGACTATTAGCTAGAATATACAAAGAACTAAATAAAAATCAGACCCCCCAAATCTAAAGACGCAATCCAAAAATGGGCAACTGAAATGAAAAGACACTTCTCAAATGAAGAATTAGAAATGGCAAATAAATATGTGAAAAAATGTTCAACATCACTGGTCATTTGAGAGATACAAATTAGAACAAAACAGATTAAATCTCACTCCAAAAAGAACGGCTGCTGTCAAGAAATGAACCAATATGGGCCGGGGACTTAGCTCAGTGGTTCCATTGCCTGCCTCCCAAGCACAAGGTCCCCAGTTTGACCCTCAGTACCAAAAAAAACAACAACAAAAAACAGAGTAAACAAATGCTGAAGGGGCTGTGGGGGAAGAGGAACCCTTTTCCACTGTTGGTGGGAGTGCAGTCTGGTGCAGCCACTGTGGGAATCAGTGTGGAGATACCTAAAAAATAAAACTAGAGGTTCCATTTGACCCAGATATTCCCCTTCTTGTTATCTTCCCAAAAGAATTAAAAGCATCATACCATAGTGATATAGGCACCCTCATGTTTATAGCAACAGTTTGTAATAGCTAAATCCTGGAAACAGCCCAAATGCACGTCAATCAACAAGTGGATAAAGAAGATGTGATTTTCTTTATACAATGGAGTACTACTCTGCCATAAAGAAGGATGAGCTTCACACATTTATAGCTAAATGGATGCACCTTTAGACCATACTCTTAAGTGAAATAACTCAGACACACATGCTTAAATACCGCATTGATTCTCTGATGTGAGAAACTGAAAGTGGAAATAAGGACTGAGATGTATAATGGGATGTTGGGAAATGGGAAGAAAGTGTTCAACTGGGAAGAACAAAAAGGGAGGGAGGGAGAAAGGAAGGAAGGGACAAGAAAAAAAAGTACAAAGAGAAGGAAAAATGGAAACAAAGCTTTTGTACATAGGGAGGGGAGGAGTGTAAGGGGGGAATGGAATAAATAAAATGTATTCAAAAACATAAAAATAGGACCAGGGAGTTAGCTCAGTGGTTCTCCTACCTGCCTCGCAAGGGCAAGGACCTGAGTTTGATCCCCAGTACCAAAACAAAAAATAAATAAATAGGGCTGGGGATTTAGCTCAGTGGCCGCCTGCTATGTAAGCGCAAAGACTCGAGTTTGATCCCCAGTACCAAAACAAAAAATAAATAAATAGGGCTGGGGATTTAGCTCAGTGGCCGCCTGCTATGTAAGCGCAAAGACTCGAGTTTGATCCCCAGTACCAAAAAAAAAAAATAAGTAAATAAATAAATAAAAACCTTTAGAATTGCCTAAAAATAAATAAATTTTGGGGTTTTTTATTTTGCTTTGGTTTGGCTTGGGGTTTTGGTTTTTTTTTTTGGTACCAGGGATAGAACTTGGGTCCTTGCGCTTATAGGGCAGGCGCCAGAACCACTGAGCTAAATCCCCATCCCTGGCTTGGGTTTTTTTTTTAATAACTTTATTATCAAACACACACACATAGAGAAATTAAAACCATTCAAGAAGAACAACGCAAGGGAAAAAAACTACAATAATATTCAAATACAGAAGAACTCAACCAAAACAAAACTGGAAAGCACTTAAACATTTTTCCATATAACTTAAAAAAGCATCCTGGGCCGGGGCTTTAGCTCAGTGGTTCTGCTACCTGCCTCAAAAGCGCAAGGACCCGAGTTCGATCCCCA